GAGTTACACTCAGTTAGACCTCAGGCAAAACTAGTCAATTTTTGATAAAATTCATCAATTTTTGATAAAAAAAAAACATCACGCCACCGTCACGCCACTGATAGAGCCAAATGACAGAAAGATAGACGAAACTGAACCGTGTTTTGTCATATTTATGTACCCATCCCTTTTTAACTCTCATGCAAGTGTCAAACCATGTATGATTCTAAAAAATGGAGTTTTATGAATGGAGTTCTGTCTACCCATTTAGATGTTTTTGATTAATACTCATACAAGGAATGAAAACATCCAACTATTCCCTATCACTAATAATTCCGGTTAATTGGTGCAGGCGGTCCGACACCCGTGTATCATCCCCCGGACTCCGTCCGTATCAAAACTACCTTCCCCTAATACACCGCATATTGTCAGCTAAACGGGCAATTTCACCCCTAAATCCCGTTTACCACCCTGTTCGCGACCCGGAGGGATGCAAGCTAGACCCCGTTCGATTGGCCCGAGCAGACCACACCCCTCGGCGGTCGCTAGGCAACCGTAATCTGTAGGGGAAGCTTCCTCGTTAAGAAAGCTCTTTGGGGGCTAAGGTGAATCCGGACAGATTTAGAGGTAAAAAGGAGGAAGATGGAGGGTAGAAAGGAGGAAGAAGTCTGGATACGTATGGAGAAAACTGGATCGATAGGTCCTTATATTTAAGGTTAATAAATATGTTTTATTAAGGAGGATAGAATGTAATGAAAAAGCAAACAATCTAGCTAGAAAAGGAGCGAAAACTCCATTAACTGGACCAGAACCGTTCTGCGGTGAAAAAGTGAAAAAGAGCGAATTAAAGCAGAACTCTAGAACCTGGAAGAATTTATCCGTAAGGGCCATTTCGCACCAACACAGTCCAGTCTAGTCCCGTCAGATTCAATCTCTTTGATTTTTTTTTCGTCAATCTATTTCCATATTGTAACGGAATTTTAAATTATGTCTTTATTTTCGAGAAAATTTAGTCCAAACATAAGGAATATTTTGTTGATGTTTCACCATCATCATTTTAGCATCCTTTATCTTTAATTTTCTTCTTCATTTGTGTAAAAATACCTAGCTAGTTTTACATAAAACGTTAAATGCCGAACGCTTATTTTGCTACTTTTTCGGACTTAGTGAAATGGACTCTTAACACAGAGCACTAGGTATATCTCTCTGTATATCTCTATTCAATATGCGTTCATTCGATAGTTTGCCCTCTTAATGAAAACATACCTTCCTTAAACGCAACCGGCTAGGCGTTCATCTATTCTAAATTAATTATCCAGTAAATCAGGGTTGACTGCGATCAAAGCAAGCTTTCACCACCCTGCGCCTTTATCGAAAACAACCCCACGCTGCTCGAAGCACAATAGTGATGCCCCGGACTAATCAAGTTATCTGCGAAACAGAATTATCCTTAATAAACCTCGCTAATGCTCAGATTTCGCCCTCCGTGGACCGCTGTTGCCATATCTAAAGTTTCCTCAGTGACAAGAAGTATTAATAACTAGTATTAATAACACAGATTAGGTATCCTATAAGTATACAGATAAATATCTTGTCCCTAATTCATGGTACGAAAATTGTTCTTTATGACGATGAGCAAACGAGTCAAATTTCCTGTGCGCAAAAATAAACTCCCGTAAAATAACAATAAACAGCGTAATAGAGAGATATCGCTAAACCGAATAGCGTGCAAGTACGTTAATAAGGCCAGGTGTTATTTCCTTTACGTGAGGTGGTAAAAACTCTCTTCATTTATAGTTATCGGATCGGAAAGAATTCTGATCGCGTCGCGTCCGCTATTTAAACTTAACCTAACTTTGAAATTGTTTTGTTTACTAGGTATTTTAAAACTAAAGAGCTAAAGTGCTTATTTCCAGTGCTTTATTGTTCAACGTCTGCCAGTGCGTTTAGGGCAACAAGCAACAAATTCTCTTAGAAGGACTAAGTCGTCATCTGCTGTAAACCTAAGACTCTTTATAGGTTCTTCAGTATTGGAAGAGGTGGAATCTATATTTTGGGCCATATTTATTTAATTAAAACTAATCCCAGCTACTTAAATATCAAATTACCTAATACAACTAAAGCAATAATTCAAAACAATTCAAACATAACCTAAAATAAAAGATCTCGCCGGTCGGCTCCGGTTGTCAAATACCCGCACATGCCCATTTAAGCAATTTTTAAACGTTATCAGAGGTTATTTAGAAAGAGCGCTTGGTGTAATTGATCCGCAAATTACGTCAGGCGGTAACGTTATTAGCGGGTGTTGCGTTAAAAATTGATTCGCGCATATCGTAGTCATGATAAGGTACGCGTAAATACTGGATGACGCTATTCGGTTTTCCGATATCTCTCTAATAACTGTGCCAGTCAGGCGCTGTGCACAATTTTAGCGGCCATAAGTGGGCGTGCTATGTGCGCAAACTAGTAACCTATATAACTAGTGCCCGATTCCGAAAATTGGAACCACGAAAAACAATAAAGAAAAAACAAAGATTATAATCTGTGTTAATAATATATCGGCTTAGAACGTCTTGCAACGTTGTCCGATGCCTAACTGCCACCGATACAATGGCACAAAGTGCTAGAGTGGTGCGACCCCAAATACAAAATAGAAATAAATTAAATTACAAAAAGAAACAGAATTAAAAAAATTAAAATTATATAAAAAAAGTGAAAATATAATTTTATCAGGGATGAGCGGAGATAAGCAGAGAGGCATAATGAAACAGTGTAAAAACCGGAACAGCAACCAATGACGGGCATTTCAGAAGAACAAGATCTCACAAATCAGTCGAAGAAATTATAATATTTACGAATTTAGTAAATCATTTTTAATTTGTTTTTTATAATCTGTAAATGATTGAAATTTAAAGTTATTAGAAATATTATTCCACAAATGTGGCGCCATGAAACTGAAAGATTTTTGGAAGTTAGCTGTTTGGTGTTGAGGAATTTTAAAATAATGCACTTGTCTAGTCGAATGATCATGGTCAACGTAGTGAAACAATGAGAACAAATAGGGAGGCTGCTCTGTAGTTAAAATTCGATAAATGAATGTCATTAAATAAAATTGTCGTCTGTTAGTCATGGATAAAATATATAAATTTTTAAGATGTGGCGTTATATGATCTCTAAAAGGAATGTTAAAAGAAAACCGTAGACACGAGTTTTGAAGTATTTGGATTTTTCTAGAGAATCTAGCGTTTATGGATGTACCATAAACAACATCGCCATAATCAAATAAAGATAAAATAAGTGTGTCACATAATTGATACTTAGTCTTTGATGGTATATATTTCTTAAGAGACGAAAAATTCTTCAACCGTATATAAGCAGCCTTTAATTTAGTAGTTATATGTGCCTGAAATGAAAGCTTCGAATCAAAATAAACTCCAAGATTTTTAGTCTCTGTAACAATGGGTATCGCAACATTATCTATATGGATATTCATGTTACCAGCCGTATTTGTAATTTTGTTTATATCACTACCAAATACTATAACACAAGATTTACCGGCATTTAATTTCAAATTATGATCTAGAGCATTTTTATTAATTTTATTAAGATCGTCGTTAAAATTTAACTGAAATTGTGCTAAATTATTAGTATCTATTCTGCAATAAATTTGAGAATCATCCGCATATTGCTGCAATTTAGAAAACTGTAATTCCTTATCCATATCAGCTACATATAACGAAAATAAAAGTGGCCCCAGAATAAAAGAACTGCCTACCAACTTTTTATTAACAGATTTTAGTATGGGCGGGAAAAAATCCATCAATAGATGGAAAGGAAATACTGCCATCACAGGAAGTCAAATATCTGGTAATAACCCTGGATAGTAAACTTCTATGGAACAAGCATATTAAGAACATTACCAGCAAAGCCACAAAGGCTCTCATGATATGCAGAAGACTGGCGGAAAACAGATGCTAACATTTTGCGCTGAATGTGTACCATGATAGTAAGACCCATGATTACCTATGGAGCAGTTGCTTGGTACACTAAACTAGAACAATGTACAGCAAGGCAAAACCTGTGGAAAGTGCAGATATTGGCATGCATCTGCATCACAGGTACCATGAGAACATGCCCAACAGCTGCAATTCATTCTAGACCTAATACCACTGCACATTTTTGTCGGTAGATATGGTAATGCAACAATGATTAGAATGGTCATTGACAAAAACAATACTGGGCGAATTTTTAGGTCAACGGTTTGGAACAACCTCAAAAAGAAAACTCCATTCCTTCAACTTCCAGCAGACGACATACCAAGATTGTACAACTTTGGGGAATCCTCCAACAGTCTAAGACGCTCAAAGCAATTTCTCAGGACTTATGACTGAGAAAAATCAAGGATTTTCATTAACCTAAATAAAAAAAATCTTTGGACTGTCATGGGGTTTTTTAACAGAACATTGCCTCTTCAATGAACACCTCAATATATTAGCAAGCTAGCAAACAATGGCGAATGCAGATTCTGTGGGCACAATGAGGAAACACCAGAACACTTAATCACTGAGTTCGCCGAGACGACAACCATTCGTACCATAAACCTTGGTACGACTGATATTGGAGATGGAGAACTAGGCTCTGTAAAACCGTCTCTGATACTGGCTTTTATCGAAGCCCTGAGACTGTATGATGAGTTATAACTCAAGAAAGGGAAATAAAATAGTTAATTGAAACAATTTCTCGAAAAATTCGGCAACACTGTCACCTCGTACACAATACGGCAGCCAACTTGATGCGGAAGATCCCTCCGCGGCTCGTGCCGCGATATACACCGACTGAAATCCACCCCAAAACGACAAAATCAGGGCTAAATCGTCTCTTCCCGTTCCTCGAACATCATCAAAACTTACTTCCCCTCGTTTAGGGGTAGCAAACTAGCAAAACGGGGCGGTAACTTTATGCGATCATAGTTGGCTTTGCCTAAATCGCCTCCAGTTACGTTTTGCGCTTGTTTTAAACGATCCCGTCAATCGGGAGAGCCAAAAGGAAAACAGTTTAACTTATATTTGTTGAATTTGAATTTATGTTTGTTTGTTTTTGTGAGTGAGTTTTTTAATAGTGTTTTTTTATTAAAAATATGAGTCGTAAGGAGTACAATGGCCAAGAACCGACAAGTTTAACTCAACAGGGTCGTACTAGTTTTCTGATAGAAGATATCCTGTACCGGCAAAAAAATGGTGAAATAAACCAAACTAGCGAAAATATCTACAACAATTACAATATGACCAAACCAAATAATACAATAAAAATTCAGGATAATGCCAGTAATCATCCTAGAGCTTTTCATGCTCCGATCAAATCTATGGATTCCGTTGCAAAAATACAGGAAAATCGAGTTTGTGTTAGTAAGGAATATAACGGGACTTCTGCTGGATATATCCAGCCTAGTATTGTACCCACTGGTGGGATGGTTCCAGGGTTCCAAGCTCCGGAAACTGGATATATCCAGGTTATGGGAGCTTTGGGTGCTTACCTGGGTTCTCCGTATAAAAATATGGGGGATCCGTATTTTCTAACACAGGGTGAGTGTACATTTGTTTTTTGTTCTTGGATTAATAATATCAAATATACATTTAATAAAATATAACTCTATATACTTATTTTATCTACTTATCTTAATCTGATTTTTGAGAACTTTATTTATGTTTTGGCATATGCCTCGTATTATTTTTGAAATGATTTGCTTATTATTTATGAAAATTTGAATAAATAACCTAAACTGGTATTTGAGTCTCTAGTTGCAACTAATCTTAATGTTATGGCCAATCTTTATTATTAACTCTTTCTTTAACCGGAATACACTTCCTAAAAGATATAATTTTTCTTTCTATACAGGGCCAATTAAGTTAATAATTTTTTTTAAAATCAGTAGCGGACACGCGATAAAAAAATATTAAAAAAACATTCTAAATCGCGTAGAAGTTTACTTTCACTGTGCTGGGATCTACTTTTGAAATTATTAGACATCCAAAACCGTCTTTTTTTCTCTTTGTCTCCTTCGTCTTGCAATAATGATCGCATTAGCAGCCGCTATTAAAAATATTTCGGTATCATCCATGTCCGAACAGCACGAACGCAAGCACTATATTACAATGTGGACGCCGTTGCTTGCGAGCCGAAAGATTTTGAGAAACACGACAAACAGGATGCGCAAGCACAATCAGAAGCAAGAGCGCGAGCAGGATCACGAGCAATGTGGACGCACCTTAACAGATACGTTCACAGCTTTGTTTTTTTACCTAAATTTAGTTATTTTTTTAAATTGGTTTGATTATTTTTTTAACCTGTTACATTTTTTCTATATTTTATTTTTGTTATTTCAAAATTAAAAACTCTAATATAAAAAAGAAAAAAACTTTATTGTGTTGGAAAAATGTTAATTACAGTTACTTATTAAATCCCCTTGTATTGACGCGACGCTACGCTACTGGCATTAACCTATTAAACTCCCGTGAAGTACTCGCGTGGGGTGTTTTAATATCCCAATTATTTTTTGATGAGAAATATGGGAAAAATAATAATTTGGATGTCATATGAGTAAATATGTAAAATCCATTTCTACTACTAATTGCCGGTATACAATTATTACGATACTACCTGTATACATTTTTAAAAAATCTTAAAACATGTAAAAAAACAAAATAAAATATACGTGTTTAAGCGTTTTTTCGGAAACTTGACCGTTTGTTAAATAAAAAATATTGTAATATTTGAGGGGTGGTTTCACCCTCTTGGAACTGGAATTTCGAAAAATCCCTTCTTATCAAACCTCTACCACAACCTCTACACCCTAGAATCAACCTGTATGCCAAAATTGAGCTTCTTACGTTGAGTGGTTTGAGCAGGATCGTGATTAATCAGTATGTCAGTCACTTAAGGATTTTATTGTATATTAGTATAAATATCTCCAATGGCTAGGATAGAAAAATGTTGAGGCAGAGGATGTCGATGAAACTGTTCTCTTCTAAATTTATTATATGTGACATTAACGATGTAAAGAAATTATTAGAGTTTAGTTAGATGAGTGTCCATTTTAATTTTATATTATTACTCAAAATCTCTTTTGTATTTCATGGTTGTTACGTATAAAAAATAGAGGGATTTGTGGCATCTTAATTCCCGATTCGTGGCTTAATTCCCGATTTGTGGCATCTTAGTCCTAAGGGATTGGAGTATTGGAGTTATGACTCTATTTTTGGTTAGCGTAACCAAGACGATATAATCTCATATTAATTATTGAGTAAGAAATAAATAAAATTGAAATTTCATACAGATCAACGTATCAGATATCAACATGATTCATTGAGTTAATAGTCAAATATGATTAATATCGTGATAATGATAATTTCATAAATATAACTTCGTGTAAATATTAGTAATTTTTAGCACTTTGTTATCATTCCACTAAACAAAATTATACTATACAGGGTGAGTCGTAAATAGGTGCAGTATTTTAGTTTATTATTTTTGGGGTAGTATATTTTGACCACAGTAACACGATTATGTTTTTTTTTCGAGAAATTTTTTTCTTGAAAATTTGGATTTGGATTTTTTTTAGTTTTTTAGTTAAAAAATATAATTTCTTGATAATATGGCAACACAAAGGTAGTAAATTAAATATACAAGAAAGAAAACCCAGAAAAGATCCACTGATTCTCAAAACTTAAGCAAGATATCATTTTTTTGGGAATTTTTCAATGTAAAAATAACTCGGTTATTTTCGACTTATTTGAAAAACGGTAAAGAGAAAATATGTTTCTTTTATCGTGATCTTACCAGCCCTGAGAATATTTGCGCTTATTTAAGACCCACCCGTTATACCTGATTAAATATTGTACTTTTACACATTTAACTTTACTCGCAAATCAGATAGTTACTAGTTACTTATTAATCAGTTAGCAATCGGGTAGTGTAATCGACATATTAATCAAAATATACATATACTAGCGTGTACCAGCGACTTCGTTCGCGTCGAAATAATCATTTGTAATGGTGATGATAAAGCAAAGCAAGAATTTCCATCAACATACAAACTGGATAAAATTTTCTCATATTTATGTTAGCATGAGAAAAAACAATATGGCGATATTATTATATAACTTGGTAATATTTGAGGGGCGTTTTCACCCTCTCGGAATTTGAGATTCGAGAAACCCCTCCTTATCGAACCTCTACACCCCACAGTCAATCCGTTTGCCAAAAATCAGCTTTAAACGTCAAGCAGTTTAAGCAGAATCGTGATTAATCAATGGTCATATTTTATGAAACACCCTGTATAAATTTTTAAAAAATCTTACAATATGTAAAACAACGAAATAAAATATACGTGTTTATGAGTTTTTCCGAAAAACTCACCGGTTTGGTTTGGTTTGTTATGTTAAAAAAACGTTTATGTTAAAAAAATATTTTATTATTTGAGGGATAGTTTCACCCCCTTAGAAATCGAGTTTCGAAAAATCCCTTCTTATCGAACCTCTACATCCTAAAGTCAATCTGTTTTCCAAAAATCAGCTTTTTGCGTCAAGTGCTTTAAGCAGGATCGTGATTAATCAATGACCAGATTTTTCGAAACACCCTGTATACATTTTTAAAAAATCTTAAAATAATTAAAAAAACAAAATAAAATATACGTGTTTAAGCGTTTTTTCGGAAACTTGCCCGTTTTTTAAATAAAAAATATTGTAATATTTGAGGGGTGGTTTCACCCTCTTGGAACTGGAATTTCGAAAAATCCCTTCTTATCGAACCTCTACATCCTAGAATCAACATGTATGCCAAAATTGAGCTTCTTACGTTGAGTGGTTTGAGCAGGATCGTGATTAATCAGTATGTCACTTAAGGATTTTATATATTAGTATAGATTAACAAATAAATAATAAAATAAGTACATGAAGAATTAAACATAAAAAATAATATCGTATAATCAAAAAAAAACGGCGTCAAAAAGGGCTTGGGAATGGCAAAAAATGATAATTCTGGAGAGGTCAATCTCTAGACGTCATTTACAAAAAAATTGACAGAAAATTTGTCAAAAAGTAACACTAATTATACAAAGATTAAAAGAGGATAGATAGAGTACGGGCCAAGTAAATGGCTGAAGACTAAGGCTTGACCTCGCCAAAATTATCATCGATTGTCTTTCTCCAGCCGTCTTTGACGCCCTTTTTTTCGATTGTATGGTATTAATATAAAGTCTCTCCATCAAGTTAAGGAATTTTTTTCAGACGATATCCAAAAAGAGTAATCATTTAGGTATATAAATAATGATTTTTTTAGGTATTCCTTTTCACCCGACACTGTTTGGAAGTTCTGCCAGTGAAATATCTTTGAACGCTTTGAAACACTGTCGAAGGAGAAAAGCTAGGACAGTGTTTAGTGATCCCCAATTAACAGGTACTATAATTCATTGCCAAAAAATGTTTACAGTTAAAATGTCAAATAGGACATTTTCGCTTAAAATATAGCATTTAAATTTCAATCTAGAGTGCCATGACTGTGTTAAAACCACTATTTTTTTATTCGTATTAAGTGGTCTTGGAAAAATAGATTTGATCGTCTAATGCTTTTTGTGACTTTTTCTGATGGCCATTTAAAAGATACCCCAATCGTACTTTTAATCATAACTCAATTTTCTCAAATGGAACGAGGGTGGTTCATTAGTATATTTGGAAAAAGCATTTTTAACGAATAATTTGATACCACATACTTTACGTGAGATTTCACAACTTTCTGTAGTAATGAGGAAAATGCATGTTTTTAAATAATGGTTTTAAAAAATAGTTCATATAATTACAAATTGAACAAAAAAAAATCGTTGATGTCGGTTAAGAAATGCCTCTAATATAAAATAATTAAATATTGTTAATTTAAATGGCCAGGCACCCGCCGTTCTTCTGGTTGAGTGGTGCCAGACGCGTGTTTATTTTACACAGTTTGCTTTTAAACGCTGTTGAATCCGTGTCAAAATTTTAGTTATTTGTGTTAATTAATACATAATTAGAGTAATTAGTGATATTTATAAATAGTAATGGATGAGCGAAAACAGAAAAAAATGCTCCAAGGCCATCAGAAGAGATGAAAAGAAAAACGTTAAATTATCCTCTATTTTTACGATTTATTGTTGTGAAGATCATTTTGATGTAAGTTCATATATTTATGTATATTGTCTTACATAGATATATGAAATTTGAATGTACAGGGTTATTCATTATATTTTGACACCCATATACAGCCTTAACTGCAAGTTTTAGAAGAAAACATTAAATAGAAAAGTTGCATGGTTTTTCATATACTCTCTTTTAAAATTAATTCTTGTTATACAGGGTGTCTCAAAAAAGGTGGTCCAGAAAATTGTAGGTATTTTTCGCTTTTCAACTGTCAATATTTATAAAACATTTGAATAAACATTTGAAGATAGGTATAGGATATTATACATGAAATATATCTAGAATATCTACAAATTTCCGAAGAATCCAAAAATATATAGGGTGTTTCACTTAAAAAAAACTTAATTTTGGCGTTTGCTTATGGGACACCTTTTATAATATTACACAATTACACAATTTATTTCCTATAATTTTGTAAAAAAAAACAATCTTTAAAAATAACAAGGGTAAGGGGGTGTCAATACATAAAAAAAACTTTCTTTTTCACGCTATGCTCTGGAGTTATTTTCCCACGTACTAAAGAAATATTTTTGTCTCTTTTCACTTCTACATAACCTACAGCATTATCTCCATACGTCTCCCTACCTGATCTGAAAAATAAGTTTATAACATTAATTTATAACTATATAAAAGTTCGTAACAGTAGGTACCTACTTATACTTAAATATACCTCAGTACTACAAAGAATAAATGTTACATACCTCTCTGTTTTTTTTCCTCGTAATTCAGCACCAATAAATTGGGAATTTGTATTTATGAAAGCAGCCAACATAAAAGCATCGACTTTTGGCAAGTTATCTGATTGTGCTTTTACAAACCCGGAATCTGCCATTACTTAAAAAATTCTCAGAACACACAACACATACAAATACTAACTGCACAAAAAAGCATAAAAAACTCCTTCAATCAACGCTAAAAGCAACAAAAATGCCTTAGTACGCCATCTAAATACGTACATAAACGGAACACGTCTGGCTGCTGCTGGCCATCGCGCATCTACGAGAACGGCGGGTGACGTCAGACCAATAGAATATCGTTTCAATTCGCGAGGCGTCGTTTGCGTTGTCCATAGTATTTTAATGGCCCATTTTATAAAATTGTGGTACTGCTTTCAAGAAAAAAGTTTTTTTTTGCCTTTATACATATTTATTCTAATAAATTGAACAGTTTCTGGCGAAAAATAAAATATATGCATCTTCCTCATTGTAAGACTTGGCATTTTTTTACATTTTATGTTTCTGATGGCATTTATTTGTCCAAATAGGTCTGGAGAAGCGATTTTCTGCGCAAAGGTATCTCTCAACCCCAGAACGAGTTGAACTTGCCAGCGCACTAAGTTTGAGCGAGACTCAGGTGAAAACTTGGTTTCAGAACCGAAGAATGAAGCACAAAAAGCAGATGAGGAAGATGCAGGACGACAAAACGAAGAAGTCGTCAGATAGTTCGGACAAGAATAGAACGAATTTATCAAGTAAGTCATGATTTTTGATTAGGTCCACCTCCTTGAACTTTCCAATAATAATCTCTTAACCACTGCATCTTTTCTGGATGTTCGTTCTTATATATTTCTACTATCTATGTTATCAACAAATTATGTTTTTAACTAAAAACTAAAAAAAAATCAAAATTTTTTCAAAAAATTCCAGATTTAAAAAAAAAATTCGCAAAAAACAAACTCATAATCGTGTTTCTGGTGTCGAAATTATCCCTAAAAGTATTTGCTCTTATTTAAGATTGACCCTATATGTAATCTCCCATACAATTTACAATCTACAGGGTGGTCCGAACTGTATTACGGAAACTCCGGCAGCATATTCTGCAGATAAAAATAAGTGAAAAAGTTCCTATAAATGTATGTCCTAAAAAGGCTTAGTTTTTGATATGATTGATTTTGATGTCAATATGACTCCGATGATAAAATTGATTTTGATGTCAATATGACTCCTATTTGTAGGGGGTGCCACCTACATGTCTTTTAACCTTTGAATAAGAAGACTAAGGAAGGAGCATATCAAAAATCTTAGGTACACCGCGATGGGTCTCAAATATGGCCGACTTAAATTCCGGTTTATCAGTGTCGTTCTAATTTTAGTTAAAAATTGTAAAACTATGATGTAGGGTAGACGTGGGGTAGACTCAATAATTTGTTGTTTTATTTTACGTTGTGAATAAATGTTGGTAGTTATTAAAATTGTTATAAAAATATATAATTCTAATAAAAATAGATAAGTTATAATAAGTATTTATTAACACAAACATCCGATACGCTACTGAAGCAGGTAAGTCAAATTAACGTATCTAAATTCTTTGACATCTAATCTTTGACAAGTAATAAATAAAAGCTAAAATGCAGGAAAAATATATAATTTAGTTAATTTAAGTGAATTTCATAAATGATCGGTTTATTACACGTATGTATATTATATAGCCATTTACTAGCGAAAAGTTGTTCCATTATTTCACTCAATTTTTGCCGAGATCTACCGCACGCTACACAACCACCTATTTTAGAGTCTTTTTCGATAGTGTCACTGTTAATTTAAGTTCCGCCACAATTTCCATCTAGATTTACTACCTTTATACAACTATCAGTAGTAGAATAAATAATAAATAACATAAAATAAGCTCCGTAAAGACTGACAAATCCACAAAATTTCAAATCAAATTCAAATGTGTCAAATGAATCGTCAAACAGAACTGTCAAGGATCTCCACCCTAGAGTGCTTTTTCCGCCCACCATGCATGAATACATGGATAGCATAATAGTATAAGTCTTTTATCTATGGATAGCATTATGCTCCTTCCTTAAGCTACATTCGAAATCAATTCGCTGGCCAAGTGGCAATTCGACATTAAAGTCGGCACAAAATTAACCATTCACAACAAATTTCAAGACGAATTTTGCGCACGCGTGTTTAAACGTCTCCTCACATTTTTTTAGGTCAGTTGTTTGTTTTTATTTTGGAAGAGCATATGCTGTGAGCATATGGAAGAGGCAAAATCCGGAACAGTTGTTAATTAAGTTTTCCAAGTTTTTATGTTTAGAAAAATGGAAACAAGAACGTCATTTAGTGATGATTTTTTCTAAAATGTGTCTCAATTATGGGATTGCTTAAGCGAGCTTCTTGTAAAATATTTTCGTAGCACCCAAAACTTTTTCTCGCCATTAATATGGGTCGGACGCCCCATTTTTAGATTTTGGTAAACTCCTTGGTTTACGATCAAGCGAATTATTGAGCTGCAACAATAATTGCCGTTTTTAACAGCAAAGCCACAAGTCCTGATAAAATAGGAATAGCGTCCACTTCACTCATTTTCTTTTAATAATAAATATTTACTTTTCACAGGAAAATGGCTTGTAACAACAACACAAACAAAATAATTATTAAAATTTAAATGTCAAAATTGTCATAATTGTCAAACGAAAATTCCGTGCTGAAGTGGAAGTTTGCAGCTTGCAAGCTTTCAATCCAACTTCAACTTGCACTCTGGCGTCGAATTTTGTTGTGAATGATTACACTGAAGTACATATGATAAGCTTGCGTGCCAAAGTACCACTCGGCCAGCGAATTGATTGCGAATGTAGCTTTAGTCTTCTTATTCAAAGGTTTTAACCGGTTTGAAGTCTAATAACTTTTCGTCCGTACCTGTATAAAATTACTGAGTAAAAAAATAAACATTTCCGTGATATTTTACGTAAAAAATGTCTCTTGATAAAAATCGCTTCTAGCAACCTCAGGATATTTAGAATGGAAATGGTCAATACATGTCATTATTGACAAAAAATAAACATATCAGTTGATAGTTATTTGACTGAAAGGATACATTTTAAATTTGGGAACTTTTTATTTTTTTAAATTAATCATGAGAAAAATTTTAATAAAACAGTTTCTGTTGAAAGTTTGGCACAAAAACATTTCAAATTAATGATTTCAGTCTAATAACTATTTAGTCAACATCTGGTCAACATGTTTAATTTATGTCATTGACGACAGGTATTGATAATTTCGATTCCAAATATCTCGAGAACCATTACTCGTAGCGATTTTTACCAAGAAACCTTTTTTACGTAAAAAAACATCGTAAATATATATTTTTCACTCAGTAGTTTTATACAGGTACAGACGAAAAGTTATTACTTTTCAAACCAGTTAAAAAATATGTAGGTGGCGCCCCCTACAAGTAGCAGTCATATTGACATCATAATCAAATTTCTCTGTCAAAAAACTCCGGACGCCAATTTTCATCCAAATATTAACTTTACTTCAGAAATTATTAGGAAAAAATCGAAATAAAAATGAAACTACACCCTGTATCTCCGAAAATAAGCATTTTAGGACATACATTTATACGAACTTTTTTATCTGCAGAATATGTTGCCGAAGTTTCGGACCATGCTGTATATAATCGCTACGAAAAAAATCACCCTTGTTTAATTGGAGCTAAACGCTCAGAGTGACGACTTGCCGAGTTGTCTTCTAATACTATTTTAATGGGGTCCCCAGGGACTTGTTAGAAACAGGATCCGGGAATAGTGGCCAAGAAATAGGAGAGTTTTAAGCCGATTGTGTTGAAACGTCGTTCGCGGATATGGTTTAATTTGAAACCAGATATTTTGTAAAAATAACTAAAAATACTACTCTCTGACTGTAGCTGCAAGCTCACAGAAAGCTTAAGTCTTTATTTATTTAAACCATTTTAATGACTTAAAACTCATTTGATTTAAGAAGCTGACTTAAGAGTCCATTTCAGTAGTCCGAACAATTTAGCAAAATAGGCATTCAGCATTTAACGTTTATATGTAAAACTAAGTATTTTTACACAAATGAAGAGGAAAATTAAAGATAAAGGATTTTACTATATCCGTATTGTAGCACATTTTTAGACAACTTCTTTATTTTCAAGATTTTGATGGTCAAACATCAATAAAATATTCCTTATGTTTGGACTAAATTTTCTCGAAAAAAAAAGACATAATTTAAAATTTTGTTACAATACAGAAATAGATTGAAGTTTTGTGATTACAGTGATATATAATTTACATGGTTTTGTAACAAATTGCTTGCTATTTTACAGCAAATGTTGAAGCTCTGCAAACCTTAATCAAGCCTTAATCAAAGCACGTGTGTTTGGATCGGGCTAAGCCTTAGGCAGATTTCTGAAATACACACCCGCTTATTTGTCGTGTGACGCGTGTTTTTGTTATTATATAAAGTCGAGCCTAAAGCCTGTAGATAAAAAAAAACTTGAAAATTGCCTTTTTCAAATTGTTCCTTTTACTTAACCCACCCCCCTTGGCTTTCCCTTAACGCAGCGTCTCGAGATCTGAGCGATCTGGGGGCCAATCAAAGGCCAATTAACCCTAACTTTGTGAACTTGGTAAATTTCTTGGCAGGGCTGCACAGCATCTTAAACATCAATTAAGGGCCAAGATGGAGTACGCAGTGGCGGGACATATTTCACGACTTTATAAAGAGCATAAAATTTCCATAGCGAGTTACGTTTTAAAAAATATTCAGGAATTATTATTTCAAGGCATTTATTACGACTAGAAAAAATATTGTGCTGGGTTGGCGTTGGTTTCTATTTAATTTGACAAATAAATAAAGCTGTCTCTTTAGTTGTCAGTTTTGAGTCAATATTTTTTAATTCTCTTTCGTGTCGATTGTTGATTGAATTGGAGCCAGAAATGGCTCAAAACGAAATAAGTAAATTACCAACAGATATTCAGGCTGAGGCGACAAACGCCATATCCAAACTACTTCCATTTAAATCCCGAATAACTTATGAAAAGGAATACAAACATTTTCAAAAATGGAAGCAATTAAAAAACGTGCGAGAAAAAATTAAGTTTGCGGTTAAAGTACCATTTTATCTACTATTTTTGATTTATATAAGGCAATTTTAACAGTTGTTATGGAAAAAAGGATCTTAATTAAAGGTTCACACTAGGTACTAAAATTCATTGTCTTAAATGTTCAGCCAAATTAGGCAAAAACATAAAGCCTCCTACTAGAGGTGTGTAGTTTGTGAACGAACTAGTTCCCATGAACTATTCCGACCCCGGAACGAAAGGAACTAGTTCCCGATTTCTCAAAAAAACTAGTTCCTCATCACCTATTCCGGGATCGAGACTGTGACCGATATATAATAATATGCCACGGCGACGGATCGGCCAGCGCGATCGTTACCTGATGCTAGGCAGGAGTGGGGAGTGTCAGCCGTATATTATCGGATCCGGACCTAGAGCAACTAGAGGAACTAAATAAAAGACTAGTTCACGGGAATCTATTCAGTCGGCAGAGATATAATACAAGGCGACGACGAATGAATTCGGCTTTGTCTATTGCCACAGGCGGCTTAATTACCACGTGGATACTGAAAATTATTGTCGTGGATACTGTTTTTGATTTTTAGTGTTTGCTGTTTGAATATTTTATGGGAATGTTTCACTTGGGATCACTAATATTAAGAAATATCTGATAAAACGAAGTAGACATTCTGAATTTTTAGATAAAAACAAAAAGCTTGAAGTGGGGAAAAATACAATTTTTCGTAAAATTTTCGTTTAGCTCTGATTTGACTTTCTTTTTTTTATCTGCAATAAAACTTACCTATAATATATTTTTAACATACGCAATTACACGTCTCTGTATATTTCGTACATTATAAAAATTATACAGACCATACTGTGAATAATGTAAATAGTTCTGACTGACAACGAAACCCATTAGCAGGAAACGGGGATGTCAATGTTAGTCGGGAACTATTTTGAACTAAAGAACTAGTTCAAGGAAATATTCCTCTGGAGGAACTGGAACTAAGAAACTAGTTCCTCCCAAGGAACTAGAGTTCTCACCTATATCTCCTACTCTGCGTGCCCCCCCCCTCCCCCCCCAGCTAGGGAATGAAATCCCGCAAATGCGGGATCCCTCTGAGATTCCGCGGGATCAAACTGCGGGATTTACCGTGCGGGATCTGCGGGATCGCACGTTACTACTGGGTAACCGAATCGAACTCAATCGAGATCAAAGCTCTTCGTTCCGGGCCGATGCGTCGACGATCGGAACCCGGGGGATTCCCCTTACGGCTTGGCTACTATTAAAAATAAGTGAAACAAACAGGTTAGTTGTTAGATCTCTTTCTCTTTCTGGCGTATGTGCGTAAGTGAAGAAAAGCGGTCAACTAGTATTTGTGGACAATTTCGTCAAATAAACTGCCGGACATAATTATCGGGACAAGCAAAATTTTAGGGTAAATTTAAAGTTGAATATCTCTTGAACTAAAAAAGATTTTGGGATGCGGTTTGGACCAGGTTTTAGATGCATATATTGTGATTAAGATGATATATGGTTCTCGAAAATATATTTAGTGAGTTCTCGTATACAGGGTGTTTTATAAGAGTGTGAAAATTTGGTCAAGATTCTTTTTTACCGCAAATTTACAATTTTTTAAAAATCGAAATTTTTACCAAGTACGACTAATCTGTATTGAAATGACAAAAAAAAACAATTTGATCGGTTTTTTGATTTTTTTTGTTCTAAGGAAAATACGATATTTTTTCGAAAAATATGCATTTTTACAATTTTTAGTCATACGTATTGTCCTAAATGGTACAAAAAGCTTTGTACATTCTGCATATGCCAAAAAATTATTGTAATAAAAAAAAACTTCAACATCAGAATAATATTTTTATTTATAAAATAAGTAGATAAATTATAATATAATTTAAGTTTATTTAATATTAAATAAATGTACAGTGTCTTTTGTACCATCTAGGACCAAATGTATGACTATTGTTTACAGTCCCGCAATTTTGCGGATCCGCGGGATTGATTGCTTTAATCCCGCGGGTTTGCGGGATTGAGATTTTGGTGCTGGATTGCATTCCCTAGTGCCAGCCCACCAAGGGATAAAAGGTAATGAATAATCAAACGATCTAGCTAAAAAAGGAGCAAACACTCCACTAACTGGACCAGAACCGTCCACAAGTGCCCTTATTGAAGGACGGCACTGGGCCAAGACGTTGACGTTCTCTTTCGACAAAGACTGCAAATTGGCGATGCCTCCTTAGATGGCGCTGACTTGCCTATTGCCGAGGGGTTGTTCTCCTAACGAAGTTAGGCCAATTAAAGTCAAATTGAGGAGAATTATCAGGCTACAGAGTTTAAGGCAGAGGTTACACTGGATGCGTTAACGAGAATTCTTTCGTTAAAAATTATATATTACTTTATAAAAATAAATTCAACAATTATTTTCCAGTTTTTAAGATCAGTTAGATTGTATTTTAATACATCTTTTTTTCTTCTAGGTACTTCAGGCCAACAGGATGCCTCCACACTGCCTCTAAGCGAAAATCCACCAAGTAGTTCCGGCATGTCGGAAGCAGAAACCAACTCAGACGTCAGCGACTGTGAAAGTGACATAGACATAGTTGGAGATTCGAATAAACAAATGGGGTACTCTTTTAAAGGAACATAGACAATGTTTCACAGGTAAACATTTTTATTTTTGCTACAAATGTGCCATTTAAAAAGTTTGAGATTTTCATCTCTATAAAACTCTTTTACGAAATTTTAGTAGTCCAGCATCAGAAACAATAGCCAACACTGACAATATTTTACCACACTTAAATCTAACATTTGTCTAAACAGGACATTGGAGCCCCTCCTCTATTATATAACTCCCCCTTTCTAGCTATGAGTGTTTTATACTGGGTGCATCTCAAAAGTATATATTTTTTTATTTTTTCAGATAAAAAAAAAACGATATTTGGTATAATGTAGTAGTTTAGGCTTTCGCGGCCATCGTTTGAAGAATTTTGGTTTTTCGGGTTATTAGGCCGTCGTCGGTTAGAATTGCTTCCTAACGTTTCGCTAGCACGAGTGGCTAGCATCTTCAGAGGTGTGTTTGCTCCGATTGCTCACACTAGACTGATGCCTCCGCGTCGGCGTAGCGCGTATTTATGCGTCGGCGGAGGGGGCGTGGCTTGTTCGGGTGGTAGTTCTTCCGGAACTGGTCTACTTCTCTGTGCTGCTACTTTGGTCCTAGATATAGCTGGATGCCAAATTCTGTTAAGGTAGAAAGTTTCTTCCTTCCTGTTGAAATTATTTGGATGTTTGTGAATTTCAACAGCTTCCCTGACCAGACGAGGATGATATCCAGATGTTGTGGCAATGACTTGGGTGTCTTCGAATTGGATTTTGTGGTCACCATCTCTTAGAGCATGTTCTGCTACGGCTGACTTCTCTGTTTGCCCTAATCTGCAGTTTCTCTTGTGTTCCGTAAGTCTCGTTCCTACTGAGCGTTTGGTAGTTCCAATATATACGCTACCGCAGGAACAAGGTATACGGTAGATCCCTGCAGAGGATAATGGTTCTCTTTTGTCTTTTGCTGGTCTTAAGCAGTCCCTTATTTTTCGGGTAGGTTTGTATATGGTTTTGATGTTATGCTTCTTGAGAACTTTACCAATCCTATCGGTGACCTGGGAAACATATGGAAGGAAGGCCTTATTAATGATGTTTTCCTGTTCATTGGCGTCAGGTTACGGAACACAAGAGAAACTGCAGATTAGGGCAAACAGAGAAGTCAGCCGTAGCAGAACATGCTCTAAGAGATGGTGACCACAAAATCCAATTCGAAGACACCCAAGTCATTGCCACAACATCTGGATATCATCCTCGTCTGGTCAGGGAAGCTGTTGAAATTCACAAACATCCAAATAATTTCAACAGGAAGGAAGAAACTTTCTACCTTAACAGAATTTGGCATCCAGCTATATCTAGGACCAAAGTAGCAGCACAGAGAAGTAGACCAGTTCCGGAAGAACTACCACCCGAACAAGCCACGCCCCCTCCGCCGACGCATAAATACGCGCTACGCCGACGCGGAGGCATCAGTCTAGTGTGAGCAATCGGAGCAAACACACCTCTGAAGATGCTAGCCACTCGTGCTAGCGAAACGTTAGGAAGCAATTCTAACCGACGACGGCCTAATAACCCGAAAAACCAAGATATTTGGTATGTTAGTATATGACATAAATTAGGATTGATTGACGTATTCAATTGCTTTCGGTCACTTCCTGTTTCACCGGAAATCACTACAGCTTTTGTTTTCTAAATGGCACCTTCGGTATTTTTGACTTTATTCAATAGAAAATTACACTCCGAATAGAATGACATAAGATATGTCAACTTTTAATATTCTCGCTTAAAAAAATCGTATTTTAAATTTCAATCTAGAGTGCCATGGCTGTGTTAAAAGCAGTAATTTTTAATCAAGGAGCCTCGGAAAAATACATTCTATCGTTTAATGTTTTTCGTGTCTTCTCCTGGCTGGTTAAAAGATGACCAAATCGTATTTATAATCGTATCTCAATTTTTTCAAATGGAACGAGGGTGGCTCATTAGCATATTTGAAAAAAGCATTTTTTTACGAATAATTTGGTACCACACACTTGGTATTTCGAGTCAAATTGTCGTTATGAACCGCATATTACAATTTCAAACCATATTCGAAAATGTCAAAAGTTGACATATGATATGTCATTCTATTCAGAGTGTCAAATCAAAAGTTGTAGTCATTTCCGGTGAAACAGGAAGTGACCGGAAATAATTGAATACGTCAATCAATCCTCATTTATGTCATATACTAACATACCAAATCTCGTTTTTTTATCTGAAAAAATAAAAAAGTTATAGGGGGTGAGCCACTTTTCTGACGCACCCGGTATATCTATTTTTTTCAGGTAAAAAATAGTGCTGTGTTGACATATAGTATCGTTTTCGACAAGAAAAAAGCTTAAACTGGAGTTAATGAAGTTATTCTACACAAATTATAGAGATATTCTGGCAAGTGTATTTAATTTTGAAATTTATAATAAAGAACTTGTAAAAAATTGTAATAATATCTATTATTATTATTATTAGTCGAGGAATGTATAGTAAGTAGAAGTTGGAACTGTAATATTGTACATAGCATAGGATTAATTTTGAATTAGAATAAAAATTAAGATAATATAGAAATGCCAAAGATATACTGAATGTGCAATTTCCGTTTTAATGGGGTTAGTGATTCATATGTAAAATAAATATGTATTATAGTAGATATGCGTTTCAATTGATTTATAAAATAACTTTAGTCGACGGAAATATCGTTAACCAATGTTATATTTACATGTGGTCAGAGATTCAAACTCACAGAAAACTTAAGGCTGTATTCCGTTGCAAAACCAGGCGAACTAGACTGGTAAACTACGGTAAAGAGCGGTTCCTGAAAAACATCGGTTTGGTACGGAACGGTTTGGTAAAATACTGGAAACGCAAACAAAAATGTTGACTTAATCTAAGACTAAAATCACTCCCCAAGTAGCAAAAAGAAATTCTAAAAGGATTGAATTATTTTATAACAGTCGAATAGCGTTGTCTTAAGGACTGCTTGATTTTATTAAGCGTTTGGTTTCGATCATTCTGTTTTTTAATAAAAGTTGTCATATTAAACTATTTTCTAGTGGTTTTTACAACGTATCCTATAACGCATTAAACGATAATTTCTTTTAGTATGATATAACACTTAATAAGACAATGCTATATGATAACAAACATATTATTTTATTAGACTCTTATACCCACCATGTAAGAGTTCTATAATATTCATATAACTAGTAGACACAAGATCATATAGTAGTTACTTAAACGTGTCTAATTAAAGTTGTATTACGTTGTATGACAGAATGTTTTATTGCGTTAAACTACGGTGCTGTATACAACACCAGTTATATAGCCTTATATGATAAAATTGTGATTAAGAAAAAAAATTCGCTGTTATATCTGCATTATAAAACTGGTAATGTATAATATAACCTCATTTTAAATTAAACGGTATACCTAGTTATTTATTTTGTTATTGTTGTTGTTGCCAAAGTAATATCTACGTATGAGTATAATCAATCACAGCTATTATGAATTCTGGACAAAGTTGGAAAAAGTTAACAAAGGCAGTGGTAGTTATAAAGAGCATGTAAGAAAAAACTCCTCGAAATTACGGCAAATAATCCCGAGAATTCCCTGGGTTCTCAAAAGCCAAAATCTCTCGGGTTCTCTGGCTTCCTCAAAGCATTGTTGCCACGTTGATGTAAAAGTTTTACTGTAGCAATGTTTGTATTGTTTTATTGTTGTTTTTCCAAGTCCTTAGGTAGCCGCTCACTCGGGCGCGCATGAAATGCATTGCGTGCATGAATCCATGAAAATCTGATCATGTTTTTAGTTTAAATACCAATAAAATGAAATTTGGCAACATCTATTTGTCACAAATCTCAATATGTCCAAAATAGTTCTATAGTGCCTGGAAATTATGCGTAATGATAGATATTTATCCTATACCGTTTTATTTTACAACAAAGACTTATTTAAGGGATTCATTTGTAATAAAATGGTTGCATTATAATTCGCCATGTTTAAGGCAGAATTTTTTATGGCTTATGGCCGCCATTATATGAAGCAAAATTAAAAACATCAAAATAAATTGTAAAATGCTATTTTTCAGAACTATTTTGTGATAAGATTCCCACATAACAGTAATAAAGTGTTTAATTAAATTAAAAACAAGAATTTTTGAAAATTTTATTTTATTTTATTGTTTAAATTTATATGTAAACCTGAATCGAAATTAAAGCGCTTTAATTTTTTGCCAAATACATACCTATAATCTACCAGTAAAATTTTCGGCGCAACAAAAATTGTCCCTACTTTTCAAACCCTATTAATGATTTTTTATATTACATATTTGTTGTACCTTCTGGGTCTACCCGCCATTTTCATTGTCGAGTAAAGTCTCCTTTTTAACAATCCACATCCTCTCGATTCATTTTACGACACGCTTAAAATATAATTTGCTCCTAATATTCTTCGGTAAATAATAAAATACTCTTGTACCTCGCTAAATGATCAAATGTTTTTATTGTTCTGTTTCTTAGATGTGACCACGTAATACACAATAAAACTAGTTTTATAATAGTCATATAACGCTGTGTAAAATAGTTGCATAAGAGTTGTATACCCTTTTTATAGAACTTCTATACTACTAAACGGTTGTATAAAAATGGGCCTTTTTTGGTTGTAAAGCTATCATATTACGGTCATATAGCACGTTATATGAATTGAGGTATCCTATAAAAATTATCACATAGCTGTTTATAAAGCTTTTATAAAATAAAATTTGCTACTTGGGTCATGATTTGTAGAAAAAATAAAACAACATTTGATGCAATATTAACACATTTTCATTGAAACTACGTTTTATGAAATTACAATATATGGAAGATTATAGATAACAACAGTTTTATCCTACATTACATAGATGTTATTTATTAATACAATTGACGTATTTTTCATTATAAAGAAAAAAACTTTTACAATATCTGGGATGTTACAAACATGAACTGTACATAATAAAAATTAAAAGTATTATAATTTACAAAGTTATAAGTAAACAAAAAAAAAATGTTTATTAAAAAATATTACGAAATGAGGTTACAAAAAGTTTGGCTTAAAATGACTCAATATGTTAAAACACGCAAATACACGTGTACAAATAAAAAGATTTTAATTAAAAAAAAAAATAATTGTAGAAACAAGAAAAAAATATTTAAAAAAAAATTAAATAAAAGTAAAAACGTGTAATTTAATATTAGTTTAAAAATCATTTGCATACGGGGTGTTCAAAAACAATTTCTATTAACATGGGTCCAGAAATGCAGAGTTTTAAAAATAGAGGATGTTAAAACTTTTAAAAACTATTTTTTTGTAATTATCTTAAATACAATTATTTTTTTTTAATTTTCTGTAGGTAGCATTGAACATCAATGTCATAACATAGTTCATATAAACATAAAACATGTTTATAAGAACTTCTTTTCATATGATTTGATGACGAATTTTTCGCCGTGCGTTTTTTGTGAACACCCCGTATGTTTGTGTATATATAGTACATTTCAGGTAATAGTGATAATAAAATATACTTCATTCATGGTAAAACTAAAAGAAAACACGAAAGGGTTTTTGAATTGTTGAATAATAGTATACTTTATATAATATCAAGGGAAGATGTCTTCGAAATTACATTAAACTGTATAGGGTGTCCTATTTTCGTGTGTTTTATGATTTGTCCTAGCCTTCATAGATATTGAAAATTTAAAAACTGAGTTCGGTAGAGTTTTTCACGTAGAATTCAGTGGCGTAACTAGTTTTTCGCTGGGAGCTGTCATTTTCGAAATATGACGCAAAATTATGTTGTTTTTTAAATGAGACATCCAGTATATTATATTTTTATTTTATTTGCTTTATTATGAGCTTTCTAAAGATATACTCTATACTAATTTTCTTAAATAAGGTAAAAATGGATTATTTAACTTTTTAAGACAAAAATCATAACAAAAAAAAATGCAACAATTTCAAATTCGCCCTGTATTTCAGGAAATTTTTTTAAGAAAGTTAGGACAAACCTGTGTGTACCATCTTTAGTTTTGTAAAATAACACAGCATCTTTGTAAAACACACGAAAATGGGACGCCCTGTAATGAATATGGAGACTAACAAAAAATTATGGAAGCACACCAATTTCTACAACATTTTTTCACATTTTTCAATACCTATTATTTTCTATTTTGGCCCTTTCATACAGATCACTTCAATAAAAAGTCTAAGTATCTATCTAAACTTATGTCATTTTGCTGTATTTTTTTTTCTTAATTTTACTATCAATTATTACTATCAATAAGTCATTGGAAAAGGGAATGATTATTATTACTATTATTTCATTAGATTTTATTTAAAAAATACCTACTAATTATTTATTTATCATAAGAGATTGGCCAACATGGCGAATACAACACTTAACATTAAGTCAAAAGCACCTACAGGGTGCCTCAGATAAAAATGTCAATAAGTACATTGATACAAGGAATAAATGTTGCGGTTCCAAAAAATGCCTTAAAAAACAAGGTAAAATTCCATAACAGTTCATTTATGATACAATAAAAAAAATACATTTAATTCTATGCCAGGTAAAAAAACTTCTAGATACTTTTAAAAATTCAAATATTTTTATGAAATTAATAAATAAAATCGCAAAAATGATTAATGTTCTTTTACGTATACAGGATCTTTCAAAAAACATGTGCCATCTCTCGTGGGGAGGTTCTTCGCAGAAGAATAAGATTTTTATTGTTTAAATCAACATAGTTCCGATTCTGCTTTGTTTCGTAGCTACAGGGCGTTAAAATCTTGGTGTAGATAATTTTGCTAACAAGAGAATAAAGTCAATGGCGCCCATGTTTTTTTTTAGAAAAATATTCCTGTGATAACTTGAAGGCACGTTCCTGATTAATCTGCGGACACATTTTTAGCACTAAAACGTGTAAACACTTATCTTTTGCAATAAGAATTTCATTCGAATCGCTAGAAGCACTTGGAAGAAAATTATAATGTAGCTACGAAACAAAGCAGAATCGGACCTATGTTGGTTTATAAAATAAATCTTATTTTTACGTGAGAAATCTCCTCATGAAACACACGTTTTTTGAACACCCTATACAGGGTTGTTCACCACATACGACACGGAGTATTGTAGCTAAACGATTAGATTTTTACAAATTGTAAGTTTTGGGTTCATTGAAGGACTATTAGAGCTACAATTTAAAAATATTTTTACAAGATACAGAGTGTCCCAAATAAGTAAAAAATATTATAGTTGTATTTTTTTAAATGGAACACCCTGTATATTATTCTATTTTTAGATTCTACGATTAAAATAAAGATGAATTTGATTAAGGTTTATCATACTTAAACCTTACTGTTTTTTGAAATACTTTCAATTTTATGAAATTGCAGTAAACATTTTAAGGCTTCATTTCTTCAAGGGTATCAAAGTTTTAAAACTAAATATTTACTAAAGATTATTTATTGATCAGATATTGTGTTGCAATAATTAAAATTCTACTACTTTATACAGAGTGTCCACAAAATTATATTAAATAATTACTAGCTTTAAACGGCAATAACTTGTTTAATTTAAATGGAACACCCTGTATATTTTACGTGAATCATATGCATAGCATAATTTAATTCTCTATCAAATTGTATTATACCATTTTTTACCCTTCTCTTCAAGTTTTCGTAGAAAATGCATTTTCTTATAATTTACACCTCATTAATCACTATACCCATGGAATATTGACATTTTAGATTATTTTTAAAGATGTAACAAATTTTCAAAGAGTACAGACACTAATATTGTCGATATAGTTCGCTTATTTCATTAAAAAATATAAAAAAAAAACTGTTGTAATTGTAAATATTTTTTGTTAAAGAGGACCAATTAATATGATCCCAGTATTCAAACTACATTAATTGACTGTTTACGTTGATTAATAATAATTGCTCCAAAACTGAAAAATTGAATTTTGTGTGTATATTAGACACTGCAGTAAAAAGTAACACCTTATAAATTTTATTTCATTTTTTGACCAATGCTAATTTATAAAAACAGAGACGTTCATTTTCAAAACTTATTATTATATTGATTTCTGAGCCAAATCCACATTTATTTAGAATACTTTATTAACTAAAATAATTTAAAAGTATGTAACTAACTAATTTTTGGTCGAAAATAATGGTGGTATATTTATTTTGGTATACTGTTTTACAAAGATTTAAATAGCTTTTTTGTATACCAATAGGCTTGCAATATTTACCACCAATATTCCAGGTATAGTGATAAATGAGGTCTAAATTATAAGAAAATGCATTTTCTACGAAAACTTAAAGAGATAGGTAAAAAATGGTATAATATAATTTGATAGACAATTAAATTGTACATCTAATTCTCCTAAAATATACAGGGTGTTCCATTTAAATTAAACAAGTTATTGTCGTTTAAAGCTAGTAATTATATAAAATAAATTTTTGGACACTCTGTATAAGGTAGTAAAAATTTTATTATTGCTACATAATATCTGATCAATAAATAATCTTCAGTAAATATTTAGTTTTAAAAACTTTGAAACCCTTGGAGAAATGAAGCCTTAAAATTTTTACTGCAATTTCATAAAATTGAAAATATTTCAAAAACGGCAAGGTTTAAGTGTTATAAACCTTAATTAAATTTACCTTTATTTCAATAGTAGAATCCAAAAATAGAATAATATACAGGGTGTTCCATTTAAAAAAATACAACTATAATATTTTTTACTTATTTGGGACACTCTGTATCTTGTAAAAATATTTTTAAATTGTAGCTCTAATAGTCCTTCAACGAACCCAAAACTTACAATTTGTAAAAATCTAATTGTTTAGCTACAATACTCCGTGTCGTATGTGGTGAACAACCCTGTATTTACCGCTTTGTTTAAAATGTTTCAAGTTTACGACTACTAATGTGACGTAACGACTTTAGGCTAGTTCTATTACACATTAAAACCTGACTCTACTCAATCTCATTCTCTTATATTTTGTTATCGACGTAACATTATTCTAAGGTGATGTGTATTTCTTTTTTTATTATCTTACACTCAATCGACAAAATAAAAAACTTCTTAGTATAACTTGGCATATATGTTTAGACCTTATATAAAAACAGATACTAACTACTAAAAAGTTAAAGCCAAAAAACGTTGCACTTAATAATTAAAAAGATTGATAATTACTTTTTAAGCAATATTACACTTATAATTATTTAATTAATTGTTAAGTTAAATCACAGTATTATTAGTTTTATATCATTCTCATCTACATACCGGGTGATGCATCGTATCAGGACATATACGAAATCTCTTGTAAATGTTAAGGGCGTCGACAAGTTGAAAATTATATATTTTTTAAACTTTAGTATTTGGCTTATTATAAGGGTTAATTGAAGGATTGTTTTTTATCCTAACTTTAAAATACCCTGTGCAATAATTTCGGGAGTAACTTATTCTAAAACATTTTTTTTTTTCGACAGAGCCATGTCTCCTGAACATTTTCTTTTCTGACTCATGTTAACACATGCCTTGGTTTTTTATTATTATTTTTTTTAAGTACTTACGACGCCACTGGATAAACAACTGGTTAATTATCAATAACCAATTATAACCAATTATCAATTAATAATCGATTTAAGTTTTCATATAGCTTCCATAATAATTAAGATACGATTTCGATTACTTTAAAAAATTGATTTTTACGTTTGCTAATACAATAAATTAATATATTTTTTAAAATATTTCTCAATAAAACGAATCAAAATCATATTGCAGATTCCATTGAAAACTGGGGTTTTAAATTATTTTGTAACTCATTTTATTCATTTGTATTAGCAAACTTAAAAAACAATTTTTTAAAGTAAACAAAATAAATTGAAAATATTAAATCGATTATTAATTGATAATTAGTTATAATTGGTTATTGATAATAAACCAGTAGTTGTTTATCCAGTGGCGTCGAAAGTACTTAAAAAATAATAATAAAAATAAAAATGTCTTATTTTAATAACACACCCTGTATCAATATTTATCAAAATTAGAACTTAAGTATCTTGGGTAAGGAGGATTCAATATAATTTATTAGATTTGAAATAAATACTGTCCCAAGGGTACTTTACCCTTGACTCGAAAAATATTAAACCCCATCAAAACGTACGTCTATGAGGTATCGCATTTCTTACCCTAGGCAAAATGTACGTCTTATAGCCATACAGCATCCTGCCAAAAACTAAATAATAAACTGAATTTACGAAGTTGATAAATTTGATAAAAAAATCAAGGAAATAGGGCTAAAAATAAAAAAAAATTTGAACTTGACAACACTCTTAAAATTTACATGAGGTTTCCTATATGTCCTGAGACAATGCATCACCCGGTATATCTCTATCTCTATATCTGGGACGTATTATAACAATAATTTTAAGTCCTTCTATACATTGAGTTCGAAAAAAATTCCGGGTAGACATCAAATGTTGCTCGAATGTATTTTTTGCTGCATCATGTCTAGCAAAATGTCCGAATATTGCTGCATCAGGTCTATGACTGACCCTGACCCTGAAGCACCCTTTGAAACTAAATCATTTAGTTTCTTAATAGCGTCAGTTTGGTTTACATCGATGTTGCCGTTGTTCTGCTTAAATTCGTTGAAGATACAATCGTGGACAACCTGTATAAACATGTATAAATCAATAAAAAGAGTTATATACAGTCAAAAAAATAGTGTATCTAACTTTGGTGGGTTATTCTTCAGTTTTATCTGTAGAATCAGGATCATTCAACAATTGTTGAACAAACTATATAATTTTTTTTTACCTTATGCGTTCTGATGAGGGACATTTTAATACAATCCATAGCTTCAGCCTGTGATTCCCCTGCTTCTTCATTTTCTTTAAGTTTTTCATAGATTTTGACAACATTGTCTGCGGTCCTGACTAGGTGTTTGCTGACATCTTCGCATAACTGATTGGAGACTGAAAACAAAAGAACCATGCTTAATATGAAGCATTTAAATACAAAAAAAATATTTCACTATATACAGGGTTGTTCACCACATACGACACGGAGTATTGTAGCTAAACGATTATATTTTTACAAATTTCAAGTTTTGGGTTCGATGAAGGACTATTGGAGGTACAATTTAAAAATAATTTGACAAGATACAGAGTGTCCCAAATAAGTAAAAAATATCAAAGTTGTATTTTTTTAAAGGGAACACCCTGTATATTATTACATTTTTAGTTTCTACGATTAAAATAAAGGTAAATTTGATTAAGGTTTATTATACTTAATCCTTACCGTTTTTGAAATATTTTCAATTTTGGGAAATTGCAGTAAAAATTTTAAGGCTTCATTTCTCCAAGGGTATCAAAGTTTTTAATACTAAATATTTACTGAAGTTTATTTATTGATCAGTTATTGTGTTGCAATAATAAAAATAATACTACCTTATACAGAGTGTCTAAAAATTTATTTTAAATAATTTCTAGCTTTAAACGCCAATAACGGATAATAAAGAATCAGATGCACAATTCAATTGTCTATCAAATTGTATTATACCATTTTTTACCTATCCCTTCAAGTTTTCGTAGAAAATGCATTTTCTTATAATTTAGACCCTATTTATCAATATACCCATGGAATATTGACATTTTAGATTGTTTTTAAAGCAACAAATGTACAAAATGTACAGGCTAGTAATATTATCGTTTTGCTAAAAACGATAATATTACCATTTGTATGCAAAAAGAAAACTATTTAAATCTTTATAAAAGAGTATACCATTAATTAAATATAACACCATTATTTCCGCCCATATACTAATTAATGACATACTTAATTGTGTTCGTTAATAAATTATTATAAATAAATGTGGATTTTTGAGTCAGAAATCAATATAATAATAAGTTATCAAATTAAAGTCTTTGTTGTTATAAATAAGCATTTATTAAAAAATGATATATCATTTTTAAGGTGTTACTTTTTATCACACTGTCTAATGCCCATACAAAATTCAGTTTTTTAGTATTTGGAGCAATTATTATTAATCAACGCAAACAGTCAGTTAATGTAGTTTGAATACTGAAATCATATTAATTGGTCCTCTTTAACAAATATTTAAACAGTTTTTTTATTTTTTAATGAAATAAACGAATTATATCGACAATATTAGTATCTGTACTCTTTAAAAATTTGGTACATCTTTAAAAATAATCTAAAATGTCAATAGTCCTTGGGTATATTGATAAATAAGTTCTAAATTACAAGAAAATGCATTTTCTACGGAAACTTAAAGAGATAGGTAAAAAATGGTATAATATAATTTGATAGACAATTAAATTGTGCATCTGATTCTCGTAAAATATACAGGGTGTTCCATTTAAATTAAACAAGTTATTGCCGTTTGAAGCTAATAATTATTTAAAATAAATTTTTAGACACTCTGTATAAGGTAGTATTATTTTTATTATTGCAACACAATAACCGATCAGTAAATAAACTTCAGTAAATATTTAGTATTAAAAACTTTGATACCCTTGGAGAAATGAAGCCTTAAAATTTTTACTGCAATTTCACAAAATTGAAAATATTTCAAAAACGGTAAGGTTTAAATATAATAAACCTTAATCAAATTTACCTTTATTTTAATCGTAGAAACTAAAAATGAAATAATATACAGGGTGTTCCGTTTAAAAAAATACAACTTTGATATTTTTTACTTATTTGGGACACTCTGTATCTTGTAAAATTATTTTTAAATTGTACCTCTAATAGTCCTTCATCGAACCCAAAACTTACAATTTGTAAAAATCTCATCGTTTAGCTACAATACTCCGTGTCGTATGTGGTGAACAACCCTGTATACTATCCATTTGTTTGTAATAAATAACAATTAGAGATATCGTTATATATTGTTTATTTTTTGTACTAATCGTTGTGATTGAAGTATTTGAAATAAATATAAACTCAAAAAAGGCTTACAATATACAAAACTAATTTTCTACGTCTGGACATGTAAAAAATGTAAAAAATTTAGTTGGCGTAGAAAAGACGGTAGAAAATATAAAATGTTCTACCTAACCAGCCCAGGACGCCCGCTAAGGTGATTATTATTCATTATACTTACATTCAATTGAAGAAAAATCCATACTTTCGCTTGATATGTCAATATCTTCGTTTGTTAGTGTGTCATCAAAATGAATTGAGTGTCGTGAAGCTGAAATGGCGTTCCCAAAAAGTATTAATATTTTAGTAGTGTTAGTATAAAATTAAAAAAAATATATAATATATCTATATTAACTTGATGTACCGTTAATAGTTAATATAAAAAAATAAAAGATATATGAAAATAAACTTACATCTCTTTTGGTCCTTGTTGTTCATGAGTCTCTTAGTACTTTGTCCATTTTCGAAGCTCTGTTGCCGGCTCATTCTTGGGGGAACTTGGGGCTTCTTTATCGTCTCTTCATCATCGGACGTCGAAACGTTGTCTATTCCTATTTGATTCAAATTACCTAAAAACCAAGAAAATGTCATAGTTTTTCTTCTTTTCTAGGGTTTAAAATGACAAAAATATCTAATGGATACTTTCATAAAATCATTCAAATACTCAGTTCAAATTCTTACTCTTCATAGTCTACCCTGGTTGCTGTTTTTTGTAGTTTTAAACTGTGATAAATAATAATAACAGACAATTTGGAACGACTAATACACAGCTCTAATTTCTCAGAACTTACGACCGAGAAAAATCTAAGATTGTCATTGATTTAAGTAAGAACAATCTTCGGATTGTTACGGGGTTTTTAACAGGACACTGTCTCTTCATTGAACACCTCAGTCGATTGAAGCTAAGAAACAACGGGAAATACAGATTCTGTGGGGAAAATGGAGAAACACCAGAACACACTCATTCGTACCATAAACTTTGGTACGACATATCGGAGATGGAGAACTAACCTCTGTAAAACCGTCTCAGATACTGGCTTTGCAAAGCCCTAAGACTGTATGATGAGTTATAACTCAAGATAGGCGGACACAATACATCTATAAAATTACGGTGATTAACTTCCCCCAATCCCTTGGGTTAACCGTCATATTTCAGGGTTGGTATTCGCACATTTACTGCTCTAACATCAGAAGTGGGATATGATGAATATATCTCCCGGTATAAATCAAATCACGTGTAATAACGATTAGTATTTTGTAATGTGTAAACAATCACCAGTCCACTGGAGAAACACACAGACGCACAGGCATAGCAAAGTGCAAAGAATTGTTGAAAGTGTGTTTAAGTTGCTGTTTAAAAAAATATACCCTAATTTTCAAATTTCCCGCCTTTAAATGGAATCAAAATGGATTTTATACTTACTGGTCGAATAGGACTGTTTCTTTCGTGCCTGTAACGACTTTTGGCTCATTTTATTATGAGAACTGATCGTAGGTCTCATCAATCTTGACATCTTCTTATCCTGAGAATCGTTTTCGGAATCTGAGTGCTGTTGGTTCAACATGACGCTGGATTTACTGCGCATCATCGAGTTGTTTTTGACATAACGTGGTGTCATTCTTGCTGGGGGTGCTGGTTTCTTAACTACAGATAAAATGTTTTAAATATAAACAAGATTTTTGGATAAAGCAAAGCATTTTTTGGAGGGAGAAATACAGTAAAACTTCCATAATTCAAAATATACAGAGTGGTCCAAATATAGTTCGTATAAATATATGTCCTAAAATGCTTCGTTTCGGAGATACAGGGTCTATAAGTTTCATTTTTATTTTAATTTTTTTCAAATTATTACTAAACTAATGCCGATATTTGAATAAAAATCGGTGTCTGGTGTACCTGTATAAAACTACGGAGTGAAAAAATATTCATTTCTGTCGTTTTTTTATGGAAAAAAGATCTCTTGTTAAAAATTGCCACGATCAATGGTTCTCGAGATATTTGAAAACGAAATAATCAATACATGTCATCATTGACAAAAATATTATCTGCAGAGTATGCTGCCCGAGTTTCCCGGATACAATTCGGACCACCCTGTATATCGGATATAAATGATAAAAAGAGAGAAAGAGAGAGATATAGAAAGATATAAAGCGAGAAATAAAGATGTTTTTCTATTTACTAAATTTTGTGTTTGCAATAATAAAAATAATATCACCTTATACAGAGTGTCTAAAAATTTATTTTAAATAATTACTACCTTTAAACGGCAATAACTTGTTTAATTTAAATGGAACACCCTATATATTTTACGAGAATCAGATGCACAATTTAATTGTCTATCAAATTATATTAAACCATTTTTTAGAAAATGCATTTTATTATAATTTAGACCTCATTTATCAATATACCCATGGAATATTGACATTTTAGATTATTTTTAAAGATACACGTACAGATACTAATATTGTCGATATATTTCGCTTATTTCATTATAAAATAAAAAAAAACTGATTAAATATTTGTAAAAGAGAACCAATTAATATGATCCCAGTATTATAACTACATTAATTATTATTGACTGTTTGCGTTGATTAATAATTGCTCCAGATACTAAAAAACCTGAATATTACATGTGTTACTACACACTAGACAGTGTGGTAAAATTTTATTTTAATTTTCAAAATTTAGTAAATAGAAAAAAATCAGTACAATATTTGGTATTAAAAACTTTAAGCCTAGAAAAATGAAGCATTAAAATTTTGTTACTGCATTTTCACAAAATCGTCAATATTTCAAAAACGGTAAGATTAAAGTGCGGTAAACATTAATCAAATTTACCTTTATTTTCATCGTAGAAACGAAAAATGTAAAAATATACCGGGTGTTCCATTTAAAAAATACAACTTTGATATATTTTATTTATTTGGGACACTCTGTATCTTGTAAAAATATTTTTAAATTGTAGAACCCAAAACTGACAACTTGTAAAAATCTAATCGTTTGGCTACACTACTCCGTGTCGAATAAGGTGAATAACCCTGTAGAATAGATTATTTCAAAAAAATATAAAAATATATCTTAGACAAGAGAACAATATTAAAAGGTTAATAATATTAGAATTAGTAAAAAATAACGTTAATATATATTAAAAAAAAGACTCAAATGTAACTCCGCATCGCATTTCTAACAAGACAGAAAAAAGAACTGAGAAGAAAGAGCATCAAAATAGAGAAAAGTAAAGGTGTTGTCATGCTCAGTGGTGGACAACTACGTGCACGGACTTACCTGTTTGTTCGGGTTTGCGCTTGGCTAAATTGGATGCGTTTTGCATGCTCAAATCGGACAAGCTACACGACCTGCGCAAACTTGACTCGGGACTAGAGGTATCGTCTAAATATACTGGAAAAAACATGCAAAACAAAATCGATAATGACAGGGCGTAATGACAAAATTCACAACAATATTTACAACATGAATTCGCAAACGAATTAAAAATTTGGTAGGGGGTGAATTGTATTTTGTTTTCAATTTTGCTCCACTATACAGGGTGTCAAAAAAATAGTGTACAGTTTATTCTAGTTCCTATGAACATGTGTCCTAAAATGCTTCCCGAAGAAGTTGCATCCCTCGAAAGGTTAAATAAAAAATAATATATTTTGTTTATTTTTAAAGTACCAAATTTGAAGAAAAACGGGTTACAATTAGTAGTGGGAACTATCGAATGAATACTATCGAAACATTCGATAGTTGCAATTCATTCGAATAATTCGATAGTTAGTAAGAAAACATTCGTTGAAAACTATTCGAATAAAAATTATCGAATAGATCCGTCATCTGCCTTGAAACATTGTATTCTAGTAATTCGGCAGCAAAAACCATTCATTTATAAAATTCATTCATTTATGAAATTCATTTAATCGTCAGGATCGATTATAATAAAATATTAACTGAATTTTAGTTGTCGCCCGGCGACGTAGGTTTCTTTCCGAGAAACCCGACAGCGGTCGGTGGCAATGCTATGAAAGAACCCGGCATCTTTGATTTTTTGCGGAGTCAGATAAAAATATGGACACATTCTTTTTTTTATCAAGGTGCTAGTATTTACACAGAAAATACATAATGAAGGGCGCTGTTGCCATATTTTGGTATTAGTTGATATTAGCAAAGAATATTATTGTTTGGCTTTAGTTAGTTAGGGATAGTATGTCTACATATTCTGCATTTTTTTTATTAATATTCTGTTGTTACACTGCAATAATACTTGTTATTTTGGAAGTAGGAAAATTATTTTTAATGTTTTTAAGCAAAGACTTGTTTAATAAATAATAATAACAGTAATAATTTGTTATACCTATTAACAACAAAATTTAAAATCATTTAATATAAATGTAAAAATATAATATAATAAATAAAAATATAAATAAAAAATTAGAAATCAAAATTATTTATATTAGGTGCTTTATATTACTATTTAAAAATTATATTTACTTTTACTGGCATTTACTTTAAAAAATAAATGAAATATTTCTTCGCAAAAACCTACATGTAAGAGAATTAGCATAAACAAAATACAAACATTGTTAACCTTTTTTTTAAATTGGCACGTGTAAAATTTTCATTTTAATTTTCTCACCCCATAGTTTGAGTTCGATAACCATTACCACATTACTTAAATATGATTATTAAGTTCAACTAATTCATATTATTAAAACATCTAAAGTACAAATATGTATTTTTAAAATTAATTGTAAGTTCATCTCATCTCTCTTAAAAATTGCTACTTCTCAAAATTTCCCATTAAAAAATAGACCATATACCATATAAAATTAAATAATTGAAAGATCGGACTACGGAAAACCACACAAATTTTCAGAAAAATGTTGACCACCTGCACATGCAGACAATCGTCAATAAATAAAATTAAAAAAAATTACTATTTTAGTATTTTAAATATTTTAATAAACGCAAGAATAGCACAGTATTTATACGGCGAAGTTATAAAAATTTGGAAGAACTAATAATGCACTGACGCACACAAAAATCAAACGAATACTAAATTTCATTTACCAAAAGCATTCGATAGCCGTGGCTCAACGATAACCATTTAGTCGCACGGCGAGGTTGTCACATATGCTTTAGTATACAAATGAATGAATGATTTTATTCGAATAAAACCATTCGATAGTCTAATTCATTCGATAGTTCCCATCGCTAGTTACAATGTTCTTAAAAATAAACCAAATATATTATTTTTATTTACCCTTTCGAGAGCTGTAACTTCTCCACGCAAAGCATTTTAGGGCATCAGGAACTTTTTGTTTTATTTTTATACGAGTCACCTACCAAAGTTAGATACACTATTTTTTTTGACACCCTGTATATTTCGTTTGAAAATAATCATAATAAATGTGAAAAAGATTTAGAATCAGAGAGCCTTGATAGAACCAAAAAAGGAACAATTCCAAGATTATATCAATCTGTTTATGTGTTTATAAAAGTTTTCCGATAAAATGAAATATGTATTTTATAATTGTTTGGAAGTACAGAAATAAATTTTATTTTAATTTAAAAAAATGCATTATTCAATTTTTTATTTTTTTTTAATTAGGACGTCTAATTTTGGTTATTGGCTCTTCCACGCTAGTTTCTGAGTGTGATTAACAGCCATCATAGAACCATCATAGAACCTCATAGAACACACGAAAATGGGACACTAGAGCTAAGTTGAAATCAAAATACGATTCAACCATGATAATATATTTATTTCAAACTATAGATAAAGTATACAGGGTCCGGCAATAGTGCGTCGGGCATCTGTAGCTCTTAGAACAAAATGCTTGCAAAATTTGTTTAAGTGTAAACCTAAAGTATGTACAAGGATATATTTCAGGAAAATATAACTTCTATAGGGTGGCTCAAAAAAGTGTGAGTGGATCGGGATATTTTTTTTTAAATGGAACACCCTGTATATTATTGCATTTTTGGCTTCCTTACAGATCACTTTACATAATCCTAAGATATGAATAAATACATTTCGATAGTTTCAGAGATATTAATAAATAAATAAAAAATTTATATTTTTCAACCTTCAATAAAAAAAGATATTACAAATACAAGAACTGCCCTGAAATCAAAATTATATAAGGCATATACTTTAGATGGTCTATACTTAACTTTGCTATAAATATCGTAATCTTGAATCATACAGGATATTCAAAATTCTTCGCCAAACTTCCTAAAATATAAAATAATTTTTCTTTTTTTTTCAAATGGAACACCCTGTATATTATTTTTTTGTTAGATGGAGAATTAAAAATTGAACATTCTTTGTATCTAAAGTATTTCAAAATTTTTAATGGTTTCGCAGATACACGGTATCTCAACGATAAAATACGAGAGAAAAATCATTGGGTGGCTTTGATAAAAATTTACTATGGAAAATGCCATATGAAATATAAAACCGGGAATATCTGCAAAACCGTTAAATTTTTTGAAATACTCTAAATAAAAAAAATGGTCATTTTTTAATTCTCCATCTATTGAAGAAATAATATACAGGGTGTTCCATTAAAAAAAAACAACAAAGAAAAATTATTTTATAATTTAGAAAGTTTGGCGTAAAATTTTGAACATCCTGTATGATATACAATTACCATATTTATAGCAATATAAGTACAGACCATCTAAAGTAAATATCTAAAATAGTTTTAATTTCAGGACATTTCTCTTGTATTTCTAATAATTTTTTAAGAAACGCTGAAAAAAATATATTTTTTATTTATTTATTAATATCTCTGAAACTATCAAAATATATTTACTCATATCTTAGGAGTATGTAAAGTGATCTGAAAAGAAGCCAAAAATGCAATAATATACAGGGTGTTCCATTTAAAAAAAATCATCCCAATCCACTCACACTTTTTTGAGCCACCTTATAGAAGTTAAAATCTTTTCCTGGAATACTTCTTAGAACACACTTAGATTTGTACTTAAACAAAATTCTTAAGTTTTTTATTCTAGGAGCTACAGATGCCCGACGCACTATTGCCGGACCCTGTATAAACACTAAACAATAAAAAAATGGGATCATGCAATATTGACCATGCTATCGCGATATGAAGAAGCTTTTTAAGGGTTCTTTTCAATCACAGTGTATAACATACTCAAATTCCATTAAAAAACAATCGATTTTATTTATTTTTATAACATTTAAAATATATACATAACAATATATAACATGCTTGTAATATAAACAGCTATGCTCAGCAACAAAAACATGGAAAACAAAGGCAGCTAATATCTTTCTCCATGCATCACCTTCAATATTTCTGTCATCTTGATTATTCGTCGGTGTTGCCAGCTTGGAAGGCACACCGTTGCCAGATTTACTGTCAGAATTCAGTCTTCTTTCAACGAAACTCGGTAAACTCAAGTTTCTTCGTCTATACTTCAATGGGGTTGCTTGAAGTTTAGTCAGATCATTGTAGTAGCTTTGTGAGGTGGTTAAAAAACTCTCGTACATCGATGATAAGGCTTTTACTTTACTTTTTGACACGTTTTTTCGGTATATATCGATCAGGGTATTGATTTGGTGTATTTTTCTTTGAATTTCGTTCAGGATTTTGATGTTTTGAAGAGCTGTAGCGATTTTGTCTTGGGGGGAAACCTTTTTTTCTGGTTTTTCCTAAAAGTAATTTATGATCCTTATTCTTGTTTACATTTATATAGTATGTCCAACGAGACAGGGGAGATTTCGACAGACTACACCCGAAAAAATGACAGCAAAACGAACGAAATCACTGTCATGAATCTTCCCGCGGGTCAAACTATAGAAAAGTGGTTACTAAATCATTGTAAAATCAGTATAATGGGTGATTTTCAAAAGTGGCCCACCCCTTTAATTTTTTATTTTTCCAGATAAAGAAAAACGAGATTTGGTAGGGTGCTGTATGACATAAATCTAGCGTATTCAATTTATTTCAGTCACTTCCTGTTTCAACGGAAATGACTACAATTTTTGAATTTTAAATGAAACCACTGGTATTTTTTTAATTTATTTGATTGAAAATTACATTCTCAATAGAAAAATAATACAAAAAATGCCTTCAGTGACTGGGACAGCTCTTGTAAATGATATGTGACATTAATGATGTAAATAAAGGATTAGGGTAGTTAGATGCGCGTCCATTTTCATTTTATAGTATTACTCAAAATCTCTATTGTATTTCATAGTTGTTACTTATAAAAGGAGAGCTATGACTTTAGAATTATAAGGGTGGCCCACTTTTTAAAAAACGCCCATCAGACAGTCTGTATTTAGAAGAAGCTTATAAAGTTTTTAGGTAATATTTTATTTCAAATTTCCTTAGAATTTCAGTACTTACGTTGGTACTTTGCTTCATCAAGACATTCTCTAGATGAAGAGCGGCGTTTTTGCTAACGCAAGAACTTTTGCCCCAAACATTTAATTCGAGACTGCCAAAAAAATTCTTCGTAGACTCAGTATCAGAATTATTGGTAGTATTCAAGTTTATATCTAATGAATCTAGGTCCATCTTAGAGGGTGGCGATTTTTTATCTAAACTATCATATAACTCTGTTAAAATATTATTCTGATGCTCTGATTTCTTATCAAACTTTGATACACTAAAAGAATTTAAACTAGATAATAATTTTTTTTTCAAATATATTGCCTCGTTCAGAACCACGAATTTAGTGGTTTCAATGATTATACTTTATACTTATTAGCTTATAGTACGAGAGCAAGCAACGTCGGAAAAACAAGTATTTTAAGACGTCTGGTTTTTGATATATTTTTGTTTGAACAGCATGCGGCCTGTTCGTTTGGCTGCGCCGGTAGGAACGTTGTTGTTCCCTACTGCGCATTGAAGAAAATTCTATATTTTGATTAGTCCTTTAGTTCTTAGTATCCGAACATACGCCTAGCGCAGTGCGTAGAGCTTCGACCACAAACCAATGATTCAGAGTTCGAATCCGTCGGGGCAAAGACTTTTTTATTTTATTTTCGTTTATATTCTGATAGTAAAGTATTAAATATTTGTTTTTATTTAATTACCAGAATTACTTAATACTTTACTATCAGAATATAAACGAAAATAAAATAAAAAAGTCTTTGCCCTGACTCGGATTCGAACTCTGAATCTTCGGTTCGTGGTCAGAAATTCTACGCACTGCGCTATGGAGACATGTTCGATTTATATTCAATACTAGAATTTAAAGGACTAATAAAAATATAGGATCTTCTTTCAATGCGCAGTAGGGAACGCAACGTTTACCGGCAGCCAGACGTTGGGCCGCATGCTGTTCCAGAGAGCATAGTAAAAGATATCAAAGAGCCAGACGTCTTAAAATACTTTCTCGAAAACGTTGCTAGCTCTTAGACTATTACAATCATTCACAATGTCAAAAAAGATACAATTAAAATTAATAGAATATCCTAGCAACAACTTACGGTAGTCAGTTGTATCCATAGAGATAGCCTAATAATTTGCTTATTATACTTTATAAAATTTTTAATATAGTCTGTGAAACGAATAACTTTGAATTTGACAGTTCCCGCGGGCTTTTCTAGTGTTAATTTTATTAGGTTAGCAACTTGCGGCCATGCTGACGCAATGCCGTCTCTAATAGAACAGCCTCGGAGCGAGACTTATAACGTCACGCTAGTTAGATACTACGGATTAATAAATATTAATAAATATGTTGTAGAATACATGGAAAACATACTTATTCCTCGTATTTTTGGTTTGTATCATAAAAATCACAACCTACTAAAAAATTAATATTATTAAATAATTAATAATAAATACATCACTAGTAGGTATTGAATGTTTTTTTTTTGTTAAATGAAATCGATTTTCAAACCTCAAAATTTAAAATATATTTTACATTTTACCCATTATCTTACGTACCTATTCATTATTTGTATATTGTAAAACATTTGCTGCATTTGTATAGTTCATAGTTTATTTGCCAAAGTATTTTTATTAATATAAATAGGTATATATATATATATATATATATATATATATATATATATATATATATATATATATATATATATATATATATATATATATATATATATATATATATATAGTTTTTATGAAATATAATATATTATACAGTTAATAAATACCATATATATATATATATATATATATATATATATATATATATATATATATATATATATGGTATTTATTAACTGTATATTATGTATATTTTCATAAACTATAAATAATGTTATAGTTTATGAAATATATTAGCAATATAGTTAATAAATACCATATATATATATATATATATATATATATATATATATATATATATATATATATATATATATATATATATATATATATATATATATGGTATTTATTAACTGTATATTATGTATATTTCATGTAAACTATATCATTTTTAAAATACAAACCAAAAATACGAGGAATAATTATGTTTTCCATGTATTCTACAACATATTTATTAATCCGTAGTATCTAACTAGCGTGACGTCATAAATCTCGCTCCGAGGCTGTTCTATTAGAGACGGAATTGGTCTGATATTTAGAAATGTCAAAAGCTGATGACATTTTACTTTTGACAATAATGACATTTCGTGTTGATTTTTGGAAGAAGAGGAAGAACTGTCACTTGTTTTATTATTTTCCTTTTCTATTTCACGAAAGTAAAAAGAGTTACCTATCTGATTCGTTCAGGGACTCAATTTAAAGAATATCAGTAACTTTTTTGGTATAGGGATTTTATATTTGCCATTTTGGTCAAAAATAACGGTCAAAATTCAAAGTTATTCATTTTATAGATTAAGTCTAATCAAGATTTCTCTTGAGGGATGATAATCAAAGGTCCAAAATGACATTACTAACAAATTTTGAAGCATAATAGTGAAAAAAGTTACGTTTGTAAACTTTTTCTACTAACTGAAAATTACCACCGCTAATTTTGACGTTCTGAATGCTTACATTGAAATTAGAGGAACAAACTTCTAGGCTAACTGAAACCACTAATTTATTCCACTAATTTCGAGGGTTCTAAATAAAGCTTACACATATCATAAAATAGATACCCTTCTGCAATTTTTACGTTTAACACGTTATTTCTAGATCTACAAGACCCAGCTTCCACATCGCATTCAATATTTTTCTCTTTAAACCTTAATTCTATGGTATTTTCACCAGTTATTACTAAATCTTTCGTTCTGTTATTTAGAACACTTGCACTGCCTTTAATTTCATCTGAAATACGATTGGTCAATAAAAAAGGCTTTGAATAAAAAAAATATTAAGGAAGGAGTATAATTATCAATTTATTTATGCATTAGAGACGCTTCTTTTTGACTTCAGGTGTTTCAGTAGGGTATTTGATATTTTTGTTATTATATAATTAGTATGCAATTATGCAACTTCTCCTATACTCAGAAAAATGTTAAAGTTTCTATTGTAAAAATATTTAATTGCTAGGGAACATTGTGATGGGAAATCACTGTTCCCTGTTATACCCTCGATGAATTTTTCAGTGATCCTAGAAAAATATATATACAGTATGTCCCTGGATTGTCTTTACAAGAGGAAAAACTTTTTTCATATCGACAGTTTGAGAAAAATGCATTCTTCATAAACATGTTGCTTATTCTAAAATGGTTAATCCCGTTTATACTTTTCCAAATTTCCATACTGTACAGGGTGAGTCAACGATAGAGTAAAGTCCATTATCTCATTTGTTTCGAGGTTTTCAAAAAAATATGAAATATAAAAGTTATAGGAATGGTTAAGATACACATTTTAAAATTATTATACAGTATACAGGGTGCTTCAAAAAAGTGTGGCCAATATAACATATGTTTTTTAAAATGCAACTCCCCGTTTCTTATTTTATTTTTAGATTCTGCGTAAAATTCTATAACTTTTTTTATATATAATGTTATATACCTAAAACTAATAGTTTTTGTAATATTTAAATTTGTTTAAACAAATGGTAGATTGCAGTGTGATAAAAAATTGTCAGTGATGGCATTGTTTCTGAATTTGGACAACTAAAATTTGGTAGGAGAATTTAATAGAGATATAGAAAACGACCTATGTAAAGATATTTTAGTTAGATGCTACAGGGTGTTCAAAATATATTTATGAATTTCAACTACTTAAACTTAAGAAACTTCAAATTTTTTAAATGGTACACCCTATATATTATCATTTTTTCTGATAAATTTTACAAAACACTTCAACTTTTATTAAGTATGTCTTATACCTATTTTTAATAGAATTACGCTATAATATCACAGTTACCATCACAAAAAGTAATAATTATCAAAATTTCTTGTCTGTTAAGCAAGTTAAGAACAAAATTTGAATTTTAGTTTAATTTCTTGTAATAAGTATAAATGGTAGAGATAATAGTTACAGACTTTCCTGAAATGAATTAGTCAATGTGACTGATACACACGAACAAGCCAAGAAAAACATATTTTTGGTTCAGTACTATATATTATATAGTACTTTGCTAAGTACTATAAGAATAGATGAAGATTATCTAGAAAACATCTTCGGTGTGTAATGGGACGGTTTCGTTATTTCGTAGTAATATTGGCTTTACCAAATGAAATTATAAACCAGCATTACTACGAGAAAAAAAAACTTTACTGTATGTCGAAGAAAATTCCTATATCAGTAGTCTTCAACAATTAGGTAATCCAGTGTTACCCTAATCTGTGGCTATTCGCCCCGACAGAAAATCCAAGTGTCATCTTTCATAATATAGAAATACACCAAGAAATTCACGACTGCGATTTTAGTTTATTTGAGTAAAGTTAATTAACCTTAACTAATACCAGCAATTGTAACCAATTATTAAGGTACTTGTTAAAGATAAGTAATAAATCGTTTGTTTTGTCATGGCAACTATGATTTTATAGGGTAATTGTATTAAAAATATGGGTAAAAATAGAAAAAATTGGAATAAATCGCAAACTATTAAAAATACGTATATGATATACTTAATAAAAGTTTTGTAAAATCTATCAGAAAAAAAAAATAATATATAGGGTGTCCCATTTAAAAAATTTGAGATTTTTTAATTTTAAGTAGTTGAAATTCATAAATATATTTTGAACACCCTGTATCATTTAACTAAAATATCTTAACATTTATATCTTTTTTTTCATCTCTATAAAACTCTCCTACCAAATTTTGGTACTCCAATTTCAGAAACAATGGCACCACTGACAATTTTTACCACACTGCAATTGAACATTTGTTTAAACAAATTGAAATATTAATTTTAGGTATACACCAAGTATAGTCTGTGAAACGAATAACTTTGAATTTGACAGTTCCCGCGGGCTTTTCTAGTGTTAATTTTATTAGGTTAGCAACTTGCGGCCATGCTGACGCAATGCCGTCTCTAGTAGAACAGCCTCGAAGCGGGATTTATGACGTCAGGATAGTTAAATACTACGGATTAATAAATATGTTGTAGAATACATGGAAAACATAATAGTTCCTCGTATTTTTGGTTTGTATTTTAAAAATGATATAGTTTACATGAAATATACATAATATACAGTTAATAAATACAATATATATACCTATTTTTATAGTAATAAATAACTTTCGCAAATAAAACCAATAAACTATGAACCATACAAATGCAAAATGTTTTACAATATACAAATAATGAATAGGTACATAAGATAATGGGTAAAATGCTTAAAATATATTTTTAAATTTTGGGGTTTGAAAATCAATCTAATTTAACAAACAACATTCAATATCTACTACTTACTATGGCTGAAATCGTATTCCATAGTCCATGTAGATAGTTTCCAGTGTTAAGAATAATAATTTAAAAATACGTGGTCATCTTTGACAAGTTTATATTAGTTTATTAATTGCAGTAAACATATGTGGTATGAATATTTTATATGTAATTTTTGGATTATATTCGACACTATTTTTTTCATATGACACAACACTGATAAAGGCTATGATGTTATTGAAACGTTTTTTTTTTAACCAAAAAATAATGAAAAAAACAAATGAAAACTTAATCAGCGTTTTTCCCTAGAACCTAAATCCCAAGAAAATAAAAAATTTTAGAATAATATTACATATAAAATCACAGCGATCTTTATTTCATAGCCATCGCTGCAGCCTTTTTCTATATGATATTGTATTATTTGGCAAATATAATTTCGAACATTGATACTTCTGCAAAAATATACATATACATTTGTGAATGCAAATAATAATACATCACTATTAGTAGATATTGAATGTTTTTTCATTAAATTAGATAGATTTTCAAACCCTAAAATTTAAAATATATTTTACATTTTACCCATTATCTTATGTACTCTATTCATTATTTGTATATTGTAAAAACATTTGCTGCATTTGTATGGTTCATAATTTATTTGCCAAAGTTATTTATTACTATAAATAGGTATATATATAATATATCATGTAAACTATATAATTTTTAAAATACAAACCAAAAATACGAGGAATTATTATGTTTTCCATGTATTCTACAACATTTTATTAATCCGTATCTAACTAGCGTGACGTCATAAATCCGCCCGAGGCTGTTCCTATTAGAGACGCGCATTGGTCTGATATTTAGAAATGTCAAAAAGCTGAAGACATTTTACTTTTGACAATTGTGTTGATTTTTTAAGAAGAGGAAGATCTGTCACTTGTTTTATTATTTTCCTTTTCTATTTCACGAAAGTAAAAAGAGTTACATATCTGATTCGTTCAGGCACTCAATTTAAAGAATATCAGTAACTTTTTTGACAGAGGAATTTTATATTTACCATGTTGGTAAAAAATAACGGTCAAAATTCAAAGTTATTCATTTTATAGACTATACAAAAAGTATTAATTTTAAGTATATACCATTATATATAAAAAGGTTATGAAATTTTACGCAGAATCTAAAAATAAAACGAAAAATAGGGTGTTGCATTTAAAAAAGCATATGTTATATCCGCCACACTTTTTTGAAGCACCTTGTATACTTTAGAATAATTTTAAAATGTGTATCTTAACCTTCCCTATAACTTTTGTATTTAATTTTTTTTTTGTAAACCTCGAAACAAATGAGATAATGGACTTTACCCTATCGTTGACTCACCCTGTACAGATGAACAGGAATTTAAGTCTTAAGCCATGTTAATCCCCCATGCCGTTCAATCTAAGTTTCTTGATATAGTCCTTCCTTAAATTTTTTATAAAAAAAAATAATTTATCACCTGTAGATAAATTTTGTTCTCCTTTGACATTAGTGTTGTTTTTGAAAAAATCCTCTTTTCGTATATACTCGTAAGTAGTTTTACTTTTTCTATTTTTAGAGCTATGTCTTCGAACAGCTTTTGGCGGTTTGTGAGTTATTTTTTCGTTAGCATTTAGTAAGCCTTTGGCAAATAAATGCCTGTCCAGACTAGATGTTTCCTTCAATAATAATAACATTAAAATAAGAGACACCACAACGCGTCAAGTAATATTAAAGCGCAGACCACACGCCAAGACTTACCGTACGACAAAACTTCGTACGGTAAGCCGTTTCGTGTGGATCACGCTTTAGACAGACGACATCCAAAAAAATGGCAGAAAATACAATGTGTTCTGTATATTGAAGCTATTATTAATACCTGAATATTGTTTCTATTTCCGTTTCTCTCAAAATTGATAGTGGACAAAGTAAAATTATTGCCATTATTTTTGCCATTGGCTCTTTCTTCAAACATATCCAAGTTCTGATCAGGCTTATTGTTCAACACATTGCAAAATTTGCTTTTGTATTGTTTGTTCTTCGAAGCTAGAGTTGGTATGTACATTTCTGAGTTTTCGTGTTTTGTTTTTTGACTATTTTTTGGTAAATTAATAGGGACGTTTTCTTTGCTTAGTTTTGTGTTTGATTTGCCTCTGCTAGTGTTTGTTTCGACAAAAAATGCGACCTATAAGTGAAATAATAAGAAATATTGATGGTAATATTAAATATATACAATCACACATGGTTGCCATATCTTTTTACTATTCAACTAACCGGTTTTTTATGAGTGCTTTGAGCAATAGTACTTTCAAACTTGAGCAATTTTTTCTGAAAATCTTCTGAACCTCTTCCTGCTTTCTTTGCCACAATTTGCTGAGGTGTCTCAAAATCTGTCTGAGTCTGGCAAGTTTTCAAACCGCCTTTACTTTTTTTCCCTAAATATAAAGATTAATTAGAAACTTGGCTTTTAAAAGTATCTATTTCAAAACCTGATGATGCTTGTATTGGCTGAGATGCAGTATAATGATGTTCAATAAAATTTTTAGGAAGGCTAGACGATAATTCTGTGTCGTACTTGCACGATATATTTTTTGGCAGGCTTTGCGAATGAGGCATTTTGCAGTTCCCCTAAAACGTATATATAACATGTATACAGGGTGGGATAAAAAATAACAAACGATATTTTTATTACCTCGGATATAAGTTCTTTTCTTTTATCTTCAAACAATATCTCAAGGAGAGCACTCTTGCAATCAGAATCGTTAGAAATGACGCTTTCCAAACTGTTACAATAACTTTTTGCTTCCCCCCTGTAGAAGTCGTTGTAATCGAGGTTATTCTCGTCCGAAAGAATACTTTCTTGGCTACCTTGTATCGAGTAATTTTGATTCAAGTAAAATGATTCGCTTTTTGGAATTTCCTCTGGAAGATTAAAAGAATATAGCAGAGTGTCATAAAATCATATAAGTAATAGTCCTAGAAGGCTAGTAAAGACTTCAAACAGTCACCAAGAAGGTACGCCGGTAACAACATGAAGAATACTATAAACAATGATAGATGGAGGATATTAAAATCAACCTATCAATTGCTGTAGGTATACTACCCTTATTAGGAATATTACTTTATTACATGAATAAAATAAACATAAACTAACCAATATATTCTTCTTGATACCGATATATTTCGTTATTTGACACACATCTCCTCGGTGGTACGTTCTTTTTACCCTTTTTAATGCTATAAGAAAAAAAGTTATAGTCCTCTAACGAATCCGAGCTAAAATTGCCATCTTCATCTTCTGGATTATTTTCTTCGTTTTTGGCACTTTTGACAGGGAAATTTTTCTCAATTTGATCGTATTTTTTGTTAAAATCCACACTAAATTTCTCTATATCGCTGCAAACTTGTCTGAAACCTTCGTCTGTCGATTTGGGATCGAGATCCAGAAAATAACTACAATAAATATAGTTTGTACGAATATATCTCGACGTGATGTCATAATATATTGGCGTACTATCTCTCTTTCACGTGATAAAACCGGAGGGAAACGATTCTTTTTTTGTTTTTACGTGAAAAAAATGTATGACAATATATCCACGACATTACATATAGTATTTGCAATAGAATTCTAAGTCTGACGTCACGATGTTACGCTCCGCCCTTTTTAAAGCGACGTAACATGACTTAGTCTGTCAGATGACAGTCGCATTTCTTCACTTCATCCTCTGAGATAAAAAGAAAGGAGTATAATGTTATCCATGTAATCACGCATTAGAAACAAAATTGATATCTTGAATCCCCAGATTTTTGACACATTTGAATTTGATTTGAAATTTTATTAAAATGCTTCTTATTTAATATGTGTATTCGAAAATTCCATAATCCAGTTAAAATAAAAGACAAAAAAAAACAAATTCTACCTACCTGAAACTTTGTCTCTGTTGCAAATCACTGCATTTTTGCTGATCGACAAAGTCAGCAAACTGTCTTTCCTCACTGACAGGACTGACAGGAAGGCTCTTGTGCATTTTGTACTTAGTCAAAGTCTTGTCTAACTTTAATTTTCTGGGTCTAACAAGTGATTCCAGACTCCTTTCTGGACTTTTTGTTGCTTTCTCCAGGCTTTCACGAAAACTTATACTCTCCGCATCAAAATTCACCGTATTTAACCCACTCAAACTCAAAGGACGCGATTTTGAGCAAGTTTTATCGTTATCTCGACTCAAGTTGAGTATTTGACTCAACTGAGTGGTGTTTTTTTCGATGTCACTCATGAAACAACCGCACAATTGTAGATCGACTGGAACGCTTTTGCTAGACGGTACAAAATCGGTGAAAGAAGTACTTATAGATGTGCAAACGCTGCATGGGTCGGTTTTATTGATTGTAGTGTTAGTTGAGGAAGCGTTAGCACTATCAATGTCTGCTGTTTAGTGGGGGTGAGATTACAGTTAGTGTTAGTATACCAGATTAACTCTAAGAAGTTCGAAGAAAGTTTCTAAATACATTTTAATGTAAAAATGGCGAAAAAATGTTTGTCTTCTTCGAAAGCGAATATCTCCAACAAAAATAAAGCTATTGAGATGAACCAAAAAACAAACTATCAAGAAAGGATGTACCTAGATGATAAAATTATTTTTATATTACTTGCTGTCTTAACATATTCCACAGGGTGTTTCAAACTTTGACCAAAATAACAACATTTTGCTTGCCCTGGTATAATTGACAGATGGGAACGTTCATTTTTAATTTAGGAAGAGATACTAAAAAGTCAAATAATTTAGCTAGAAATTGCTTAAAAATGCATCAAAATCGGTCCAATACAACAAGATATATTAAATTTTAAGATACATCAAAATTTTAGGATGCACGTTTTTCATATATAATTAAATTAGGCACAGCTATTGTTATCAAAATTTAGAAACTTTCTCCTGCAATTATGACAATATATATGGGAAATATGTTAAAATATTAAATTAAAAAAAATCAAAACACTTTAATGCCAGAATATACAACACTACATGACGTACCTTGTTTCTTTGACCACTTGTCTCTCTCAGGTATATGACTCAAATCATGTATGGACTGGCTGTATTTCAGTGGGCTAACATGTCCAAACTGTAAATAAAAAAACACATATTATATAACTTCTTTGTATTGAATTTTAAATTTATTTCTTACACTCTCTAACTTCTTTTTGGTTTCTGCTATCCTTTTGTTCAATTCTTGCCGTTTCTTTATCGCTTCAGGGTCGGATTTGGTCATTTTCACAGCGTTAATAGCTTCGATATTTTTGTTTCCGCTATTTGTTAAAAATTTAGATGAAAACGACGATTTATTAGCTAGAAATAAATATTTAAAATCAGTCTCACAAAACAGGAAGAATTTTCGATTTATTTAAACATTGTTTCACGGTAACAAAATTCTTGAAATGAAACTATAATAATAGTTATTCATTTTTACACAGCTCTACTTAAAAAACTGGAAGGTTTAGGTATAGGAACATGATATATCGTTGAAAAGCAATTTTATAGTCTCTTGATTTTTTACAAAATATACGTAGAGTTGAATTTAAAATAACAAAGAATTCGCAATTTTATAACAAACGGAAATAACTACTGTTTGTTTGTCTATTCCTGTGTAATATCCAATTAGTTGATTTAGTCAGATCGAATATGCCGACTTTCGTAACTTATACCCCAAATTGCTACTTTAAAAATGTTGAATTCGTGATTTTACCAATGTATTCATGAACATGTTTTTGTCAATGTTACACATCTTTTATTTTTTATCTCGAAAACTGTTAGAGATAGGTATAGATTAGTATAATAGAAAGATTATGAGACATGAAAGTAGTTTCCAAAAACGTAATAATATACTGGGTGTTCCATTTAAAATAACAAAGATGCTAATACTTTTCAAACGAACCGACAACATTGTAACGCTGATAATTTTTTAGAAAGATGGAGCAGGTACCTTTATGTAAAAATCTAAATCACCGGTTCTCCATAAACCTCAAACGTGCCATCGCCGTGAATCACCCTATATAAAGATTATACATACAAGTACTTACAGGGTGTGTGATGTTCAGTTTCAGCTCCAGACATACTCTCAAAAGTCGACTGAAGATACCTTTCTCTATTCACCAATTGGTCCAGAGACTCTGAACTAACAGAGAACAGAGACATTGGATTTCTGTCAGTATTTTCACCGCTTGGAGTTGACGCCTGGAGAAAAGAATATATATGTATGTTACAGTAAAAGTTGGAAATTACTAGTAAATATACAATTACTAGTAAAAGCTTCACTGATTTGCTAAGACTACGCCAGTAAAAGTTCAACAGCTATTTTTGAAACCAACTTTTACTAGTGAATGCTAGCATTCCCTGGACGATAGCAGTAAGTTTGAAAGATTCAGTTAGCGCGGGAACCTAGTGACTATAGTCTGTGAAACGAATAACTTTGAATTTGACAGTTTCCGCGGGCTTTTCTAGTGTTAATTTTATTAGGTTAGCAACTTGCGGCCATGCTGACGCAATGCCGTCTCTAATAGAACAGCCTCGAAGCGAGATTTATGACGTCACGCTGGCTAAATACTACGGATTAATAAATATGTTGTAGAATACATGAAAAACATAATAATTCCTCGTATTTTTGGTTGTGTTTAAGGAAATACAGCATTAAATACAATATACCATTTATAGTAATAACACTTCTCGCAATCAGTCTATGAACTGAGCATGAATGCAATGCTCTTATTAACAGCACAAACACGAATAGGTACATAGCATCGGTAAATGTAAAATATATTTTAAATTTTGGGGTTTGAAAAGCGATTCTAATTTAACAAACAACATTCAATATCTACTACTTACTATGGCTGAAATCGTATTCCATAGTCAATGTAGATAGTTTTTAGTGTTAAGAATAATAATTTAAAAAATACGAGGTCATCTTTTGACAAGTTTATATTAGTTTATTAATTGCAGTAAACATTATGTGGTGTGTGGTGATTTTATATGTAATTTTTTTGGATTATATTCGACATTATTTTTTTCATATGACAACACTGATAAAGGCTATGATGTTTTTTTTAAACCACTTTCTTTTAAACCAAAAAAAAAATAATGAAAAAACAAATAAAAACTTAATCAACGTTTTTCCCGAACCTAAATCCCATGAAAATCAAAAATTTTAGAATAATTTTACAGATAAAATGACAGCTTTATCTATGATCTTTATTTCATAGCCATCGCTGACGCCTTTTTTCTATGATATTGTATTATTTGCAAATATAATATGTCGAACATTGATACTTGCAAAATATACATATACATTTTGTGAATGCAAATAATAATACATCACTATTAGTAGATATTGAATGTTTTTTTGTTAAATTAGATCGATTTCCAAACCCCAAAATTTAAAATATATTTTACATTTTACCCATTTATTATTTGTATATTGTAAAACATTTGCTGCATTTGTATGGTTCATAGTTAATTTGCCAAGGTATTTATTACTATAAATAGGTATATATATATTGTATTAATTAACTGTATATTATGTATATTTTATGTAAACTGTATCATTTTTAAAATACAAACCAAAAATACGAGGAATTATTATGTTTTCCATGTATTCTACAACATATTTATTAATCCTTAGTATCTCACTAGCGTGACGTCATAAATCTCGCTCCGAGGCTGTTCTATTAGAGACGGCATTGGTCTGATATTTAGAAATGTCAAAAGCTGATGACATTTTACTTTTGACATTGTGTTGATTTTTTAAGAAGAGGAAGAACTGTCACTTGTTTTATTATTTTCCCTTTCTATTTCACGAAAGTAAAAAGAGTTACCTATCTGATTCGTTCAGGCACTCAATTTAAAGAATATCAGTAACTTTTTTGACAGAGGAATTTTATATTTACCATGTTGGTAAAAAATAACAGTCAAAATTCAAAGTTATTCATTTTATAGACTATATTAAACATTTCGATATGCTTGAAGTAGCGGGTTTGAGAAAACGAATAACTCCCGTTGAAGAAAATTCGGGCATACTTTATTTTGTTCACGATGAAGAATTTTAATAAAAAAAACCTTGTGCCAATAATTAATCTTATATTTATGTATGCTTTTTTAAATTGTTTTGTACGCTTTAAAATGTTTACTATGTTTTCCCTTTTAATATTTATATTATTAAGGTTATGTCGTTATTTTCTCAGCTTCAATATTGAGGTGATCCAATATTCTTAAAAGTTTTATTTGTTCTAACTTCCACGAACATTCTTCCTCACCACACTCGCCCTGTACAATAGAATAACTTTTACTGGCAACCTTTAGTAAATGTTACTTTCACTATAGTGAATGTTAGAAATTACTAGGAAAAGTCGACAAATCTCTTTAAAATACCAGATTCACTGGCCCAATGCGTAATTGCTAGCATTTCCTAGTGAATGTTAACAATCGCTGAATTTCCGACTTTCACTGTAACATATATAAATAAGTTTTAATTTTTATTTTATCCCGAAACATACATCATCGTCATCGTCTTCAGAATCGTAAGTTCCTGTCGTGGGTTGCTGTATTAAAATCTGGGGAGTTTTCTTTTTCCTTTGCGATTTCCTAAGTTCGTCAGCATCGATGTTGGTTACTGTATATTCGTTTCCACTGGGTGAGTCAGCTAGTGATGGATAATATAGCGGTCTGCGTCTAATAATAAAAAATATGTAAATCCAAACAATTAATCAACAGTTCAAAAAAGTTCTAAATGTAATTCTTAACCCTTAACCGCTACACTGAATAATTCTCCTTTAGTCGCTAAAGAGCGGTCTGGTAGACCCTCTATTAAAAGTCTATTACGCTGTACTTTCGGGTCGCTCTCAGCGGTCGGGTAAAGCGAGTGCGTGGCCGAAGGAAATATATATTATATTCCAGAAATCGGCCTAAGGCTTAGCCCGATCCTGTCGTGTAAAGCCAATTTCAAACACACCCAAAATTCCAAACATACGTACTTTGATTAAGACTTGATTAAGGTTTACAGAGCTTCAGCATTTGCCATAAAATAGCGAGCAATTTGTTACAAACCCATATAAATTATATATCACTGTAATCACAAAACCTCAATCTATTTCTGTATTGTAACGGAATTTAAAATTATGTCTTTATTTTCGAGAAAATTTAGTCCAAACGTAAGGAATATTTTATTGATGTTTGACCATCAAAATCTTAAAAATAAAGAAGTTGTCTAAAAATGTGCTACAATGCGGAAATATAGTATAATCCTTTATCTTTAATTTCATTCTTCATTTGTATAAAATTACCTAGCCAGTTTTACATAAATCGTTAAATGCCGAACGCTTATTTTGCTACTTTTTCGGACTAGTGAAATGGACTCTTAAATTACATAATTTAATAGAAAATAGAATGTTTTTGTATCTCTATAATTTTATGAGTTTACATGAGTTAGTTAAAAATATATATGTCGTAGTCTCATAGTGTATTCCGTTTTTTCATGAAGAGCCTAGTCACTTAATGAAAAAACTAACCTAATAACATAACTAAACTGCTAACCTAACCGACGCTTCATGAAGTAACCTAGGATCTTCATGAAAATACGGAATACACTATGTGACTACGATATATACATTAATAGAAACAATTGTGATTCAGAAATCAAACATTATTTTAAAAAAATACGTGGTAAACATAAAAAAGATGTATTAAAACATAAAAAAGATTTATACTAGCAGCAATTTAAACATATTTTCTTGCGCACTATAGATAAAGGTTTTTTTTACAAACTGTACAGAGATACTCAATGTTTCTTTTTATTTTGTAAAAGCACATAGAGCAAAGACTTCTCATTTTTAGTCACTCCTCTTCAGCTGTTGTTTCGCACACCATAGTATCTTTCAATATTCACCCTAAGCATTACTTTTCTTAGTATTTTTTGTTGAGCAACCTTATTTTGATCATTAAATTTGTAATATCTTTGGTGTATAATATACGCACTTATGGTGCTAACGGCAACCGTTTGGAAAACATTTTCATTAGAAAATTTTTATTGGTGGCCAATGACAATTTTTTGTGACAATGACAATGTATTTATGGTAAATTAGTACATATCTAACTTAATTTTAATATACCCTGCCGGTCATCGAATTTATGTGGTCTGGATTTTAATGCATGTGACAGAGAATAATATAAATGACCGTTTGTCAGACAGAGAAACAAAATCAAAAGCGGCATATAGCGTTGTCGTTTTTTTGCGTTTGTAGGAAAATGTGTGTAGAAAAATATAAGCTATTTTAAAAACTTTCATGTATACTACTAAATTGATGATATATCTAAACTAAATATAATATATTACAGCTGTAGTAAAATGAGTAAGTAATAGTGAAAAATAAAATTGCAACCCTAGATGCAACATTTTTCGTAAACGCCTACTTGTGCGGTTTGAAATTTTAATGCAAAATCCGGCAATACCGCATAGAATTTTCCATTAAGCTGTCTACATCACTGTCTTATTCACTGTCTTACTGTCTTACTTGAGCAGGCACGAGCTGAGCGTGCACGCACGGCATTCGTTCGCGCTCTCGGCTCCGTTCAAATTAAAAACTTACTAACTCCATTTGTGCGCGCACAGCAGAGCTGTGTTGGCGAAAATAATGGACGACCAAGAAATAGTCGAGGCTGCAATCATTGTTATGCCCAGCTTAATTATTAAAAAGGAGAAAAATCGAAAACATCGTCGCTGGTGGCAAACCCAAATTTTTAGAAATCGATATAATTACTGCAACAACTTAGTGTCTGAGGAGGGCTATGATCAGTTCAAAAACTTTACAAGAATGACCAGGTCCGACTTTGAATATTTACAAAATTTAATAACACCAAAAATTACGAACAAAAGATACAAATTTTAGAATAGCAATTGCATTAATATCGACATATTCAATATTAATTTTATTTACAAGGTCTTGTCATGCGTTTTTTTT